AACAAAAAACCACAAAATTTTAGGGTCCATCTCTATTTTACATTGACAATGATGGTTCCAGAACACCAGGTAAAGTGTTTTCGGTAGGTTCCGGGTCAATATATGCATTTGGTGTTCTTGATTCTGGCTATAAATGGGATCTAACTGATGAAGAAGCTCAAAAACTTGGTCAAAGAGCTATCTTCCATGCTACTCATCGAGATGCTTACAGTGGTGGCATTGTTCGAGGTAATAATTTTAAATTTAAATTATATTTCTATTATATATAATTTGATTTTCTAACTAAATAATTTGAAAATAAATTCCAGTGTATCACATCACTAAAGATGGATGGAAACATATAAAGAACGAAGATTGTGATGAAATATATGATAGAGTAAAGAATGAAACTAAATAATTTAATATTTGATTTCTAAATGTTTTAATTATAAGTACATAATTTGTATGGTTCATAAGCATTCAAGCATAAAAATATGATTGTTTTATAAGTATTCTAATTTTTCAAAAATAAATTATCAATGAAGATTAATAATTACAATAAAAAACAATTTTTCTTACAAAATGCTTTAACTGTATTATTTTATTGTATAATATTATAACTTGTATGATTAAAATCAGTGGCGTAGCCAGGGGGGAGGCTGAGGGGGCTGCAGCCCCCTCCGAAATGTTAATAAAATTAAAAAATTATTTTAACGGTCTATGGTATTCGATCAAAAACTAAACCACCGCTGTGTAAAAAATTGATCAGCCCCCCTCGAAAAAAAATCCTGGCTACGCCACTGATTAAAATGTTGGGTATACTGAACTGGAGTATTCTATGTTAGTTAAATTATTTCTTAATTTAAAAAAACCAATAATGGTATTATGGGAGCATTAATCTATAATATCTTATAACTAGTTAGTCATATCTATACATATTATTTTAAAAATTCTATTCCTCACCATTAAAATAGTTTTTTTTTTTCAAATAATCCTTATTTTGTAAATTCAATTTTAAGTACAGCCAATAATTAACTGAATTTCAATTGGGTTTTGTAAATTTGTATTTTTAGATTGAGTTTTTGTAATTTAAAATTTTCTATGAAAAATTACTGAGTAGGTATAAGGACAAAAACTATTGAGTGTAAATATCTAAAGTTTAGATTCTAGACGCTCCCCTGAAAATGTACAGCTGTATAGTAATTTTGTGCAAATGAACAAAAACATGTTACTGTATCAAACATAATATTTGCTAAAATCTAATCTCATGAACGATCTGACCAATTTAAATAAAAGTTATATCAATAAATTCCTTGAGACTTAAGGTGTTTTTATGCCACTGGTTGACAGTCCGTTGTACTCTTTTATTATTTACGGTTAGTATTAGTTTGTATATTATGCTTTATGTACAAGTTGTATATTCATCACTTTAAAAAATTCGACTGAGTATATGACTGTAGACTTAATTATATTTTGTGTATAGTCTAGTTATATGCTCCTTTTTGAAGTTTCAAATCTGAATTTGATTATGTCTAATTATAGAGCCGGGTAATATGTTTTAACCTATAATAGTATTATTGACAGGCAAATAGTGTAGATGCGCGATTGTGATATTTTATAATTTACTTATATTTAATTGCATATTGTTCATACCTGTGAACTTGCAAACTTGTGATGTCCATGGTGTATCATATTATTACAAAATAACTGTGTTTAACATAAAATCACTTTATTTTAGAACAAATACATCGCTGTTTTAATTGTTAACTTATACATATATAGATAGGTATTAGGTACGTTATCTTATCTTATATTTTATACATTATAATCAATACATTTAAAAACATCAGTAAATTTCAAAAGTGGTAATGAAAAAAGAAAAAGAGAATACAAGCTGTTAAACCGAAGCATAGAAAATTGTATAAGTTTGTTTCAATTAGATAAATAATAGACAACATTGAATAATTTTACTAGTTAACTTACCTATATGGTTATATTTTGAGGGCCTTTTAAACTAAAATTCATGATAGGCCTTTCAAGTAAGCTAGTCCAGCCAAGGTTGTACCTACCGTCCTATCCGTTGTAACCTTATGTTCTTATAGTGGTCGAGTATTGAATAGATGTGTGTAGACCTGGGGCACAACATAATCCACCTTGGATGGGCGATTATGCCTATACTATACATCACAACATTTATGGGAAGACCAAATAAGTACACTAATACTTAGAAACCTACTCCCAAAATCCTAATTTTATTTTCTATTTGTAGGCTGTAGCACCCTTGGCTTTTCAAGAATCTTAAAATTGGATCTTTGGCACTTAGTCCAAAAAACCGTGGGTAATGCCTTTGTGCTCAACTTAAATTAATAGGATTATACCTAAGTAAAAATGAGTTAGAGTACTCCTCCGTTATTTCCTTCAAATGAATCACTGCAAATTTATGATCCATATTTTCTGTACCTATTTATAATAGATGCCTGTTATACACTTAAATACTTTATTGAAAGTGATTAATATTTTAAAAATCAATAGTCAATAATTCTGATTTATGGCAAATTATGCTAGTTACAATAGGATAGCGAAAAAGCGTTATAAATATATAATAAAATGTACAATAGATTGTCGTATTATTGATAGTAAAAGTAAATTGTTTAGTATAGGGAACGTGTTTCAGTTTTCAATAACCTCACTATGTATAGGTAGGTACTATACATTTGTTACTAACCTAACAAAGGGGCGTCATTTCGAGGCCGATATTATTATTATTAAGAACACCACACTAAAAATGTACAAATCGTGAAACAAAAAGAACAAAAGAAATGAGAGACGAGATTATAATATTCATTATGATGGGCGGCTACAGCACGTAGGTAGGTATCTAATAATGTATTAACGTAATATTAAAAAGTAAAAACAGAACAGACAACTGTAGTTATAGCCTTATAGGTATAGACGTATAGCTTGTTTACAGAGTGATTCTCTAAGTATGTCTCACCCCCTATTATCCTTAATTAACGCATTTCTGATTTCTCCACTCCGTATAATTGACTTTCCTTGGTGGAACTTAAGAGGCCGATACGTTTTTAGACATTTTTATTGTATTTAATATTTATTATAATAAAAATCTTTTTTAGTATGCACCTAGGTACCTGCAATTGTTATACATGTGTTGCCGATTTGTAGAAGGAAAGTTTAAAAATAAAGTATACGTGGTGAGAGAGTAAAGACAATATGTATGATTGAATAAATAATATTGTTTATTTACGACTGACTCGACTGAGAATCATCATATTATGCCCAATCAACCTATAAATCTATCATAAATACGTAGATATACCCTAAAATTTAACAAAATACTCACTAAACTCTGATATGAAAAAAATTGGAAATGGTAATATTTATGATTTTTTTTAAAAAAAGTTTTAATTTTTGTTTTCTCAAAATCGTTGGTACATTGGCACATATTTACTTTCATTTATTAACAAATAAATACAACTAGGTGCTTTGGATAAAAATTTTTTTTTATTTAAAACTATTATCAGTTTATATTTATTCCATAGTTTACACATTTTATTAGAAATTATCCTTGAATTGTATTGTCTCCTGGCGTAAATTATAATTTATGGGCTACATAAATTATCAAATCGATTGCCCTAACATAATATAAAATCTTGAACAGTTAATTTGTACTTCACAATTTTTGTAGTTAGTAGTTTAGTACAATAGTAAGTACTAAGTAGGTACCAATATTAGTAAAATCTAAAAAATGTGCCTTCAAAATTGCGTAGGTACCTACCTACGAAATTCTAAGAAAATGCCCTAAGCGCTAAGAATTCAAAAAAAAAATAAAAAAATATGCAAAACAAAATGTTATACATATTATTCAGAATCAGACAAATCAGTATCGTAGACAGGAAAGTTTTGGGTGTTTATCGCCTCCCCATTTTATAATCCTGATGGCTACAGCACTGTTCAGAATGGTTGTCATGTAATATTTGGTTTGAACTATATACTTGGCTATATTTTTTGTCCTAACAATGAAGTCTAGTAGATAATGGTATCCAACTATATTATTGAACTTGATAATTTTACAAACCATAAAATTGTACTAAACTAATATTATTGATTAGTGATTATTGCCTATAAAATTTTCAAAACATCATAGGCCACGACATAACTTCTTATATTATATGTTATCTTACCATGAGATATTTTTGTTTATTATTCGTATTTCTTGCTCCTTGATACTCAGGCTGAGAACTTTAAGTATAATTACTCAGAAATTAATTGTACTGCAAATTTCGATTAAGTTATGTCAAAATTATCAAAAAAAAAATCATTCGATTAAGTGATTAATTATTGGCATTGAAAAATGTTCTCATTTTAAAAAAAAATAAAAAAAATAAAAAATAAATATTCTTAAAAATCCTATAAATTCAAGAATTTAAATAAATAAATTATTAAAAATGGGGATGAGCCGATAAGTATACTTGGTGAATCAATAATCCACCTGCATAGTGTAAAGCAAGCGCCTATTGACCTCATGACGGCTCATATACATTTTTATAATAAAATTAAATAAGAATTTCGTGTTCGTTCGAGAGCGATGGGGCTGAGCGCTGGTGTAAACCAGTCGTCCTCGTCACTTTTCTCAACCACTCGCCAGCCGCGATGAAGAGTGACGAGTGACGATTGTCAAAATTCTAATTATTCACATGTTTGTTTCTTGCCTTATTCTTTAAGTATACGGTCGGCGGTCGCGTAAACAATCTACCATAAAGTTTGAACGTGACCTGTCACCTTTGACTGATTTTCTTTTTTTAGCAACCTAGAGAGAGACGTACAATTGCAATTTGCGTTCATTCCAATTGTGTCGTGTTAACAATAATTGTTTATAAATTATTTATAAATGTATTTTCAATTGCAAATTATTTAGTACCTAATTTGTTTGAAAATATAGATGTATCTGTGTAGGTAGCTGGTAGGTACTATTAAATCGAAATTGGAGTAGTTTATACTAGTACCTATTCCAGTTTTTTGAATGTTTATAATGATCCTTATTATATCTAAATATCTAATAATAATACTAAAATAGGCCGTAATACACTAATACTAGATACACTCTCGCGTATGCTATACGTACAAAGCATACACTTCAAAAATTAAAAACATTATTTTTTTATTATTGCATAATATTTTAATATTTAATTTATTATTTTCATAATTCGTGGGGATTGATCATCCGCCACACCACGGCCGCTTCGCACAAATGCACAATTACGTAATAGGTACCCCACTGGCGAATCCACAATATATATTATATTAAAAAATATTGAGATGAAAAATTGAAAATAATATTGTAATTGTACTCATTATCTATGTATTCTGTATGATAATTACCTAAACAAACAAAAATGTACTTAAAAAATAAGTGTACACTGAGACACTGAGTATTGGAGATCACCTTGTATTATACCTTTAATGTTTAAGTATCCGTTTCTTGTAGACATTGACGCCTTGGTCAGTGCATCAAGTGTTGAACCGGTCGTCGAGACGTTGAATTGTCATTACAATGTGCAGTTCAAGGGCATCTGTAAACAATATTTGCTGCTATATAGTGAGTAATAAATTATAAATACCTATGCTATCGGAATCGATCCGTAACCTACAGCACTGAGTGTTCCGGTTGTGATTCGTTTCCGGTTTTTTTCATTAACAATATACCATTATAGTATACATTATCCTTATTCTATATAAGGTACTCATAACTAAATTCACTCAATCTATTATGAACATTAAACATATTAAACTTATACCAGTCGGATGTGTTTGTTTAATGTATTACGTATACACTATACAATATACTTATGTTTGACAATAACTCGGATCGTTTTAATCTATTCTGTGGTATTAATAGCATTATACTTAAAAATAATAATGTATTAAGTGGGCTTACTAGAATAGTGCAATTGGAAAAAATTTTTTTTAAATTTTTTATTAGTCTCATTACTAATTACCATAATCATTAATATTTAAAAACAAATTTATAATTTATTTAATATATACTATATAGTAAATATGATATAAATATATAATAAAAATAACCCTATAGGGTTATAACCTAAAAAAAAAAAATATTTTGTTTTATACTGCAATATTATGCATGATTCTGTAAAATTTAATCTCTAAAATTTGTGATATTTTTTATAACATAATGATTATATGATGATTGCGACCACAAAAAAAAGCCAAGTGAGAGGCAAGCACCTCTACTCACCCCCCCTTCGGACGCCCTTGAATATTACGTACCTACGACAGTGGCGTAGTGATGATTTGGTTCTGGGGGGGGGGGGGATATTTAATTAATTGGATAAACGTAAAGTGGGGGGAAAGGCCCCCCACACCCCCCTAACAGGTTTTTTTTTTAAACATAATTCTATACACAGTTACATTAATACAAACATTTTATTTCCATAAATTCTATAATTTATAAAATAAATATAATTTGAGAGCCAAGATTAGAAAATCGATGATTAAATCCTTCTGTTGACTGTTTGATTATTAGTACGCTCTGCATTTTTAATAGTTGTTTCGTGTACATTTTACGTAGCAGGTGGGAAGATTGGGGGAATATTTCGAAATTCAGTTTTTTTACCTGGCCGTGAAATTCAAATTGGTCTATTTATTCCCGAAATATAAGTTTGATCAAAATAATTCACTAGTATGGTATAGCATAGCCGCATAGGCCATGGGTTATAATTAGGGATCGGCCGATACCACTTATTACCGATATCCGATATTCCGATATATGTTGCAGATATAAAACCGATACCCGATAACATATGGAAATGTTAAAACAACATTTTTGACAAAAAAAACATGAGCCGATTCCACCATAAAACCGATACCATCAACCGATATATAATAAAACCGATACCCGATAAGTTATAACACAAATAATATTACCCAGAAAAGTGAAAACATTGATTATTATAAAATAATATATAGTATTTGATTATTGATAACCTAACCTGTGCATTTGTGAATTATGATACTATCAATACTATGCTGATCGATAGATTTTTTTTTTTTGGTATCGGTTGAAATATCGGTTTTGAAAATCACTGATATCGGCCGATATTTAGTATCGGTTCTAGTATCGGCCCATCCCTAGTTATAATACTAAAATTAAGACTTTAGTAGTAATTTTTGTTATTATGTAAAATGTATACCTATAATAATAATAATTGATTTTCGCTTTTTTTCCAATATGCTTTTTTTTCATTCGCTTTTTTGTCCTAACCCCGGTATGGTTAGGTACTAGGGTATTAATGTATAAATGGTATAACATAGTATCTAAAGCAACATGTATGTGATGTTTTAATTGATGCATTTGATCCTGAAAGTTCATTTTGGTCTATGGGCCCTGGGCCAGGGGGCTTTTCCCCTATGAACGTCACTGCCCCAAGTTAATCTCGCTATTTATGCTAATTTGTGGTGTGGGCGTATTCAATTGGGCCTACTCCGGGAGAGGGATGGTCATTTTGTTTTAACACCCCTTTCAAGCAATGTACCATGTATAATTCTTTGGTTGGACAATTGCAGGAGTAAGGCTGTAAGAGATATAAGGGATTGAAATTTTAAGCTCTACGAAAGCTATCCAAATATTTACTGATTATTATGCAAATATCATAATATGTACCTCACTACAAATGTCCACTCCACTAACAAGCTACAGCAACGCCATACAGTCAACGTATATGTCTAAAAATCTAAAATGCACTTAAAACCAAGGATCTATGACAACAATTGTCCAACCCCCCCCCCCCATTGCACCTCTATTAAGCTTTTATGCCTAGCTAGGGAGCGCATGTACTATACATCTGTACAGCAATATTAAATAGGTACATACAACATACCTACTATATTATAGTCAGCTCAAATTCCAGATAAACCGAACAAAAAATTCAACTAGTTATTTTCACTGTGTGGTTACTAATTAATAGCAAACTAATTTAACTTTTGTCTGTACATCTAACTATATTATTTAATTTAGAGATTAAAAAGAAAATTCTGTAAAAGTGAACACAGGGTAGTGGCTAGTGGATACACAGTTTAACCGAAGTCACCTAATCGGCATGATACGTTGCCACGTTGGCAGTGTAATATACCTATTGTATACCTACCCAATTTTTAGAGGATTAGACCTTTATGTCTAATAAAAATATATATGCCTTAATTGAGTTCCAAGCAGTGGCATCCGCAGGGGGGGGGCTAACGGGCTGAAGTCCCCCCCCCCATCACTCGTATTATTGTTTTTGGTTTTTATATATTTACCTCGATTTAATATAGTTTCTTAAATCGTGTGTTTACCTATTTATTGCAAACCATTAGGGTCAGTTGCACCGTCTCTGAATAAAGTTAACTAGAGTTTTAAATATCTGTTATCAGCTGATTGAGCTTAACCGAAGTTTAACCGTAGACGGTGCAACTGGCCCTTTTAGTCCTAAACTCCTAAGGTTCATAGATAATATTTGTCATGGATAATATTATTTTTTTTTTTTTTTATTGAACTTAAGCTTCGGCAACTGAGGCCATTAGCTGTAGTAGGATTTGTATTGTAGTTTGTATTGTATATTTTTTTGGAACGGTAGGGGGGAACACGTGTGTGTTTGTTTTTGGCAGAATTTCGAATGGGGCACCCGCGACTTGTCCGGAGAAAAATGCCGCCCGGTAGCCGAGGATCGAACCGCGACCGGCTGCGTCGCAGCGGACGCGTCAGACCACTCGGTCACCTCATCCCCCAATAATATTATTATACATTGCCATAGTCACGATTAAAAAATAGATCAAAATCAAAGATACTACCTACCTATAGCCATATGAAGCGACTACAATTAGTAGACTGGACCAAATAAAAATTTATTTTATCGCTCATTATTTTTGTTATTATATTTTTGTTAGTTCTTTTTTTATGTATTTTTTCTTGTTCTATTTTATGCTTAATTTAATTATGAAATAAGAAAGCACTTTATTATTCAAACTTATAATCTTGTGACAACTGAGTAATTATTTATTTTCAAGCCCCCCCCCCTCATTGAAAAATCCTGCATACGCCACTGGTTCCAAATGTTTTTAATTTTTTTATTTAATTCAAATGTAATAGTATTTATCTGTACCTAATCAATGTTATAAAGTCTTATGGTGTGACGTGGGATTTGTGAACTGTGAAGATAAATTGTATGACTTGGTTGTACATATGCATTTTTAATGAAATAATAAATATTAAATAGATAGTAAGACCAATCCACGAAAGCACCTAGGTAGATAATTTATTCCTCCTTGAGTTGGATGTCTAAAATAATCCATAGAGGGAGCTACTAGCTCAAAACAAATCGAACATGACGTTATGACGTCACAGATCACGTCACATTTATTATCATGATAACGTTCTACTGAGTACCGAATACTGACTTCAGTAGTTCAGTCTACTGTAGTGTTGTTTTATCAGCCAGTTTTATGTTCCCTTCCTGCGTGTTCGTTTTCAATGTTGTCATTCTTGCGAATTATGATTTTTTGTGCTTAAATGTATCTTTAAATTGTTTTTAACATGAAATATTATAGTATTTACATATGATAGTACGTGTATGGTGTCATTCTTGACTCTTGTGAAATTGTTAAAATACATACTATGGTTATTAAACAATAATTTTATCTTGAATTATGTCCTGGACGTTAATTAGATACTAAACTCGGTTACTACTTACTAAGTGCGTTTACCAAAAAAATAAATAGACCTATTTTACGAATAGAAAACCTAAATAGAGTATGTCATTCATGATGGTTGACCGACTGCCTGTTCCTAAACTATCTACATATATTTCGGCTACTGTATTATCCATTTCAGCAGCTACCTATTATTCAGTTAAATACAGCTTTGATGCATCACAAGAATCAAATTCTAATCTTCAGGTTGATGAAGATCCAACGAAAACAGATCCAATGGATGTATATTATGAACAAATGCTTAATGTGTTAGCATTTATGCTGCAAGATCCTCTATGCTTTTTGGTAAGTTAACACATACAACACTTATTTAATAGATATTTAATTAATAAATATAATCATATAAAATAGTAAAAGTTAAGTAATTAGTAAATTTACTGAATTATTTTATTTTTTATATAAATTAAATTTTTTAAATGATTTGGATGTTTAGATGTTATATCTTGAGATTATTGAAAAAAAAATATAAATAATGTAGGCATAAATTGTAGAATTTTTAAAATTAAATTAAAAGTTTTAAATTTTGTATATATCATTACATGTATATTGCTAGTTCTTATTTAATTTAGCATTCATACCTACCTACTTAACATTAATGTGAAGTAGTAATTACCTAGATAAAGCATTAATTATTTAATTGTAACCTATTTTCCTTAGCAGACAATCCAATTTATTTTGATACTTAAATTAATAAACATTTAATATATTTAGGTACCTACTATAGTTTTAATGTTATATTTTTAATGAATCATGAATACGTATATTAATTTAATTATTTTAGATTGAGAATGGCTTAATGATAATTAAAAATATTAAAATCCCAATTAATGGTATAAAATTGAATACCAATATTATAGAATATGAACTGATCAAATATACATATTATCTACATACCTTGCCACCTTGGTATATATCACACATATGTTAAGGTTTTTTAGAATTACAGCAATAATTAGAATTTTGAATTCATGAGTGATAATATAAATGTAGAATATTTATAAGAATTTATTTTGTGTAACATTCAACTAGTTAAGATGAATCATTATTTTTATTAACCTCAGTATTTACTACAATAAGGAGTATTTAATTAAATTAATTATATTGATCTACCTTTGTATAAAATAATTTAATATTTCAAGGTAAACATACTTAAAAAAAAAAAAAATGAGAATATAAAGATGTTATCCTTAAAAATATTTGAATAATTTGGATTCCATGCCTTTATTTTTATACATTATTCAACTTTAGCTTATAATTTATTTATGTGCAGTACAAAGTAAACAATTTGCATTTGTTTCTTTTTTTTGATCTTATTCTTTTATAATAGGTATAATATTTATGCTATGATTTCAATTGTTTTATACTAAATATTGTATAAACACAATAGGTAAGGTACAGCCATTATAAATATAATAAAAATAAATATTAAAGTTAATACATCCATATTTTTCGAATTTTATTTCAGTGATTTATATTCTAAAACTATTATAAAAACTAATCTTAAAAATGTCTCGTGTTTGCGTCTGTGGATTATATTGTTTTTTTTGTTTTTATTATTTATTAGAATATTGGTCACGTAAATCCTATGTAGATTAATGGTTTTTGAAAAATAGTTGACTAAAATTCTTCAATAATAGCAAAATTGAAAAATGTACAATCCTATGAATAAAAATATATACAATTGTATGAACTATAAATTATTAATTAAATGTTCATATTATATTAAATTAAGAGTTTTAATATTTTATTATTTTCTATGTTAAAACATAACTTTCCTTCTTTAAATCGCCAATATGACTTAACTTTAACTATAGTATTATTCTGTACCTAGTACTATTAAATAACACATTCAGGTGATTTTTATTTCCTTCTTATAAATACTAGGATATAAGATTCAGGAAATAAAGATATTTATTTAATTTTTCTTAAAAATAAATTATATGTTTTGAATATTATGTTTGACTGACTTACTGGGTGACCTTAACGTTTTTGGTTCCGTATCTAAATAATGAAGTAATCGGCAATATAACTAAGAAGGACAATCGAAAACAATCATCTCCCTTATTATAAATAGAACCTGTTTTCTGTTATCATTTTAATCATTTAGGTAATTTTTTCGGGACTCAATTGAATATAATTGTGTTATAGTCTTAGTTTTACAACACTCGTTGTTTTAGTCCTAGCTCCTAGTCTTTTATTATTACAATTATTTTAATCATTTTAATTTAATTTTTGCCGGAGCCGTGTGCTAATAATAATAATAATAAGTATAATAGAGTTAGCTAATATATTGTAATATTATAGGTACCATAAATAGTTTGTTTTAGGTATTTATATACAAATATACTGGTGAAGCCAACGTTAATATTTAATTATATTGCAAATATTTTACGAATACTAGTTATTTACGGCTTTATTTATGTATCCCCCGAAATTGTCGGCGGAATGAGAACGGCAAGAGCACAATCACTAGGTCTTTTTTTATTTTTACAAAATTACATTATTATTATTATTATTATTATTATTATACTTTCTAGTTTGTATAACAAAGAGGTAGTTTTAGTATTAATATATTATTAATCACTGTAAATGATTTTAAAATTGATATCACCTTGAACTCTAAAAATAATAATATAATAACCTATGGTATATGTTCTGTGCTATTGGTCAATGCTCAATAAACTTTATCTTAAAATTATCTATTTTATATTTTTGTCAATAAATTATAAACTATAATAAGAATTTGAGTATTAGGAGATTCTTTAAGGTTTATAAGTTCTATCTTCTGTCAACAATCATACGGCATCTTAATAAAATATCGTATTAATACTTCATAAATAAAATATTATATTGATCGATGACGTAAATTTTAACTCAATATATTATGAACTGTATGTTGTTGCTGATGAAGTAGTTGAAAGGAAGGGGCTATAGAAACTTTAGGGACTTAAACTAATTACGAGTTATTACTTTTGTCTATGTAAATGAAGGATGACGGGTTTATCTTGGCTTTATTGGCAATATGTTTTGACATTATATAAATTATTTTTTTAATCAATTGTGTAAGATTTAATTACTACTAATCTTAAATTTCACCAACATTAACACATTTTTATTTAATTTGTTTTACTGTAAGAAACTATCATACGTTTATACCACGTTTTAGATTCTGTGTAGAGGAGGAAATAATACCGTATTGTTTTTACAATAATGTGTTTTTTTTTAATGTTAGGTTGATATTTTGGTGCAGCAACAATTCTTCAGTTTTTGATATCGAGGATGGTTTTTACTTTTTAATAACGAATTTGATCTAGTTGTTATTCTCGATAAAACGTTTTAATGTCTTAATAATTGGGAAATACTAATAAAAGACAATGGGATAATAGGAATATTTTAACGTTGCGTTTATCCATGAAACCAGTTTTCGATACAATCGATTTTGTTTTTTTTATCTTGTATTCAAAAATAATAACTTACTGTAAGAACATGACATTTCCTCAAAATATTTAACATTTCTTAAATACAAATTTTAAATTTTTGACTATTTGGAGGTTTAAAAATATTAAAGTAAGTTTTAGTTATAGTACCCCCCCCCCCACGTACGTATGTATAAATATTTGTTATGAATAGTTATGATATTGTGCAATGCGAAAGCAGTTCCCGCGGCGTCGTCGATTAAATACTGAAAAATTATTATACATTATCTGTGCTTAAGCGCGGACAATTTTTTCGATATTTTAAATTTCAAGCAAGATATTTCAATATTTGTTTGTAAAATATAACAAACTAAAAATGCTCATATCTCGCTTGAAAATTAAAAATCGAATTAAAACCGACCCACAAGCATAGATAATATTTTTACCTAAAAGTTTAATAATAGGTCGACTAACTCCCAATACCAAAACTAACAGCACGATGTTGGAACTAGTGAACGAAAATTTGCTGTGTTGTACGTGTGGTAAGACGGAGACAACGAATGCACGGGTAGCGTCCTTTTTAGTTCAAAAATAAAATTTTGAAAATAATATACCTAATTTTATATTTAATTACAGTGTAATACGATAATTGAGGAGTTGCCGTGTTCGTATTTTAGTTTACTGACACGAAAATGTTTAATTATATAATTAAATGTATAAAATACTAAGATATAAAAGTCATAACAGATTTATTAAATTATTTGGACACAGCTTATTTATTCAAAAACATATTGTTTTGATATAAAAAAGTATTTTTTCTCATTTTCTTAGAATTTGTAATTGTAATTCGGATGTATTTGAAAAAATAAAATACATTTTATTGATAAAAATTATATAATGGTATTGCTTATTAAATTTAATGTCATTAATGGTAAATAACAAATCTACTGTTATCTAAAAAAATAATAATTAAGACGTGATGTGAATTATTTATGTTCATTATTCGGGAACAATATTACAACAGTTATAATATAACTTATATTATAAGTTATAATATCTAGAATACTGAATACCTATTCAGTAAAATTTCATTTATTTCGTGACTTAGGTCAAGTTCCTAAGTCCATTAGCTCTTCTCGACTAAATGTTAATACATTTGTTACAACATGAAATGCTCAAATATGATTAATTCATGCCTATATAGTATGTAAATAATTGTGTACCAAGGTCGTGTTGTATTGAAGTCAAAAATGTAAGTCTGTGTACTATACTCTCACAAATTTTAAGACGTTTATAAATTAATTATAGAATATTATATATTTTATACTATAACCGGGAGTAGAAATAGTGTACAGTAAGAACTAGGAAGAGTACAGTAAGTACTAAGTATATTTTAGTAAATAGTACCTAATACTGTACTTATGTGGGCGGCGAAAATGCTGATTTGGCTCTAGGCAAATAGATAAGTATAACCTTATGAGATAATTGTTTATCATAAATGAAAATATTCGTTAACTATGTTTTTAACATTGACTATTGAGATTGAATCATTTAATAGTTTTCAAATATCGAGTTCAAATAGTTTGTGTTACTGCAACTAATGATGGAGTTATCCAGTCAGGTACTATTGAAGTATATAGTTGTGGTATCACTGATTTTATGAAATTGAAATATTGTCAGCAAAGCATTTATAATACGACGAAGCATCCAATCTTCATGCATCTAGCATTTTAATTTCTAGCCTTTATATTTCGTTTGTTTAAACTGAAGATATATCGCAAGATTAATTTTTTTAGTCTCTAGGGGACATACTCGTAATATCAAATTATAATTCGATAAACGAGGCAATTCGACTGATAATTGAATGAAGGTAATACGGTGAAAACATTAATTTAGCCATGTAGGTATTTATTACTTTATTAGATGTTAATAAATTATAATTATTATAATATAATTACGCAATGTTTCACAGTATGATGAAAAGGTATTTCATTACTCATTTTTTATAGCACTAATTTTATTCAATATTTTTATTCTTCCATAAAGAGAATAAGAGAATAAAAAATTAAAGAATTATCTCTGGTTTTGTATAACAAACGATAATCCATATTCATAGCATTTTTGTAACAATAAAACGTAGACTTACAATTATTTTAATGTTCTATTCGAGTTAGATTCTGAACACACTTATTAGCCAATCGTTCGTTTTAAACTTTTTTTATTGTGGTGTTTGGTTGTTTTGAAGTACTATTGTTTTATTTTTCCTAGTAGAAGTGTGCTAAAAATGTTTAAGTATACTTATCTTCATAATCCCTATAGACAGTAAAATTGTTATTGTATAAACTATAATCCTATGTAGCTACTTGAAAAATCTCTTATGAAATTAAAAAAATGTAGTATACATCATACATGTGTTCTAATTAACCATGTATTATTCGTTATTCTAAGTATAACTAAAAATGAAAACAAATGTTCATTTGTTCTTCAAATATCAAAATATTTTTATAAGTTTTTAAATTTTAGCTTTTGGTAAAAATAAAACTGAATATTTACACATATTTTAAATTCATAGTTAAAATGTATAAGATAGATCCGCAGTTGATAGAGAGAAATAGTGAAATTGAAAACTTCGCATCAGGAAAAAGTGCGTCATGGTTATGGTTAGAATGTTTATGCCTTTTTCATATTTTTTTTTTTTAGTCGTGCACATTGCAGACCAAGTTATAAATTCGTTTTATATGACATAGAATCAGATACATTACATTTTATTTTGCATAATTTTGCATATTTAGAGATTTTTATGAATAAATGCATATTTTGAAGAAAAAAACAGTAAATAAATGAATACTTCGATGAAGAAAACAATAAATGTACTTTTTTTTTAAATCAGAAAAAAATTAAACTAAAAACTAACTAATATAATGATATAATTATCATAGAAACCCATAGAAAGCCAAGTATGCATTGTTATTGGTTTCATGGCTAACGTAAACGAAGATGATCGCTATTGAATGGCGATGCCTATATCGGATATAGTGATTTAACACTAAACAATCTTTAATTATTTAATATACGAGTATGTTGTACCACAGGTAGCTGCAGTGCTGGCGAATAATTTTAGTTTTAAATCGCGTTTAAAATAAAAATAAACAATGAAAACTAAAAAGTCTTCACATATAACCTTTACCCTTAGACAAAGCGTAGTCCCGTCGATCTTCCTGACAAATACTTTTTTAGCACCTTTAACTAATGTAAAATATTTATGCCTAATTCTTGACAAATGCTTAAATTGGGCCGAGCATATAAAACAAAAATGTTTCTTACTAAACTCTTGACGAAAATGTCTGCACCCATTGCTAGGTAAAAATTCTAAACTAAACCTAAATAATAGATGTCTTCTTTATAAAATCCTTCTGAAACCCATTTGGGCCTATGGTATTCAATTATTGGGGGCTGCAAAAAAATCAAACATTTACAGAATGCAAACATTCCAATCCATATAACTTGGTATAATTACTAACGCATCCTTCTCACCTTGTTTACGAATGCATCCATTGATTCCAATTAACTTGATTTGTATTGGGGTTTATTTGTTAGGGAACATGTTTACATGAAACGTATTAGAATAATGCACTTCCACCAAAGCAGTTATCGTTTCAACGTTTATATGTACAGTTTCAAATTCAAATCGATTTACCCTAATTCGAATTAATAATCTCATTCTGTTGTTGTGTGCAATACGTTGACATGCATTTGCCAATGTGCATTTCAAATGTGAATTAACTAAATCGTTTTAGGTAAACCGAATTAACAGTCGCTTACATGCATTTAACTCCGGGAGTTAACTAATTCGATTTGAGTTAAATCGGTTTTAGCTGTGCATGTAACCGTAGTATAAGTATCGAACCACGTTCTTCACTCTGATCTTGGACTACCGACTGTCGCCGACGTGGCCACATCATCTTAGAAGCGTTTCCGCCTCGCCTTACGAACCATCCGAATCCACTAATTCTTGCATTTAAGTGAGCAAACATTCCTGGTAATCCACCGAGAAGATTTAGAAGGCGTTGGTGTCTCAACTTTACTAGCAAAACTGATAACTTAAATAATATTAAAATTTAAAAAAAATTAAAAAATACTTAACGTATGTATTTGTATGTAAAATAGCCTAACAAATTATCTCGCGAGTGTTACTCCTGGGTAGCTACTCCCCTCAAGCATTCATTGCCAATATAATATCATTACACGCATATGCTTATTGTAATATTATGTTTACTGATTGTATATATTCTAATAAATGTCAACAATTTTTTTTTTAATCGCGTTTTGTTCACACTAAGCTTCAATGCTGCTTGCAGACTACACAAAGTTGTTTTAGAGTTTGGGGAGGACGTATTTTCGACATTTACATTACAAGATGTATAGCCAGTGCAAGTTCATATTTTTTGCATATTTGTATTTTTGTTGAAAAAATATTTTTATATTAATTAAGTGTATATTTTTATTTGATAACATTTTAAAATGTCATATTTGATTTTTAAAGGCATATTTTGTTATTGGGTATTTTTTAGTGTTTATAAGGTCATAAACATCCTAACCCTAGTCATGATTATCCTACGATGATTTATCAATTATTGTCTTATGTTTGATTCTTTGAATTTAATGTGTACCTACTACACTATAATTTATCATTATCATTTATCACAACAATATAATGACTAGTTGTTATTATTTTAATAACACAAAACAATGGCGTTTTGACATCTGATCAGTTCATAATAAATATATAATATAGATATTACCTATAATGTTCTGTGTATTTTCAATACCTTTGTAGTTTGTTTTCTCACAAACAAAAATAAATCAATGTATTTTTCTTTTTATATCTAGAGATATCATATATTAAAATCTATTGTGTTATTGACTTTAAATAATTAAAACTCGGTGCATTTACTTTACCTACTACCTACTGGCTACTTCATATTAAATCGCATATTGTTGATTCGCGTGATGTTGGGTTTTGTAAGGTTTTAGTAAAGTCTGATGGCAATTTTAACAAATTTGTTTAGAATTAATGATGTTTATGTTTCATGCTTTCATCATTTAATTTAAAAGTTAGTATTAAATTGATTTTTTTAATAGCCTTATTATAAAAGATACAACTTGCATGCTAAATATACTATTAAATATTAATACATAATATAGCGAAATAATAAATACATCATCAAATAAAAATTCATTTAGGTATAGCAATATTATTCTACCTAGAATCTTGTAAAAATTTTTTTTAAATGTTTAATTATTATGACAGCATTTAGATAACGGATTGAATTGATAGTATCCATGCTTTAACTAAATACTCAGTTTGATGAACTCAAGTGTTAATATTTTAAAGGAGAGAGGTAATTTTAACTGTTAAGGTCAACTAGACACTAGTCGATAAAAACAAATTAATACCCTTGACATTATTAAACAATAAATATGCAAAAATCAGACATAGGACAAAAAAATCGCGAGTAAATAAGGCTTTTTTTTATTAAAAAAATTGAATTTTACGACTGTACATTTGTTGGGGTGGGGATTTTTCAAACGACCCACTTACATTACATACTTGCATTAGAATTTGAATATTTTTATTTGTAGTCTATGCACTTATTCATAACTGTCTTATAAAAATATACATGAATATTAATTAAATATTTATAAGAATATATGTTAGTAGTTTAGTATTCTTGTTCATTATCAGATACGCTATATAAATCTAGATTGAGTGTGTTTATCACTAAATTGTTATTTGTTGTTGTCGACCTAGAAAAGTTATTTTTATTAATAGTTATCTATTTTTGTAGTTGGTACATAAATATTTTTATTTCATTATTTGAAGTTGTTTTGTTTGAACTTAATATTTTATAATATTATATATTTATATGTCATGGGGCATAATTAAAATGAAAATAGGTACCTAAAATAAATTGATTTCATTCCGTTTTTTTAAAATTGTTTTTTCTCTTACCATTAACTACCTAGAGGTCAGTTTAGAATCATCATTTTCCCTCTTTATAATGTATAGATATTCTTATTAATTAATCGTTTCTTATTAGTTATTAGTCATTACTCATTACTCATTACCTTCACTGAAAATTGAAATAGTGAAATATCGTAACGTATAGAATTATATCGAGTTCAAAGAAAAAATATGAGTATTTGACTGGATCAATTTCTATTAATAACTGAATAGTGAATAAATAAATTATAAATCAAAAAAATGATAGTGCATTATACTTTCATAATCTCATCTCTGATGGTGTGATGTTTTTAAAAATATCGTATTTACTATTTAGTATTTTAGTACGCGATGTGATCAACAATTTAAATCAACAAAACTATAATTGCTATTTATCTAAACTATATTTTGTTGTTTTTTTTTTTCAACAGTTTTTGACGGTTGCTTTTATTAATTAATTTTTTAAATATTTTTCAGGTTCTTTGTAATGGCGCAATTTGTAGCATAGTGATGATAGGCGCCGTTATACAGTCACTGGTTCTGGGTAGCTTAAGACCAGTAGAACACGTTCAATTTCGGGAACGTCTATGGAACTGGGTTATCTACAAATTCATTTTTATGTTTATAATCCTCAAAGCTTATACGTTGGATAAAGTAGCACTTTGGCTATTTTGGTATTCTACCCTAGGATTTCTTCATTTGATGACCAGTTTGTGTAAAGATCGATTTGAATATGTAAGTATGTTATTACTTTAATACTTTATTATTTTATGTTATTACCAAGACAACACTTGTGGGCACGACATCTGGATGACATCGTAGGTACACTCAACGCTTTAATCTGTAATAAAAATGTTATTCCTACTTATTCGTTATTATATACTATGGTTGGTGATTCTGCTAAAGATATAATATGGGATACTAAAACAATGTACTTCTGTTTATTAAAGAGTCTTTTTTAGGTAGTAGTATACATACTTAAAATGGGAAAAAGTTGGTTACCTCCGTGCTGTGTAGGTGTCAAGTGTACCTCTTTGGCTCACTGTAATGTATGTGTTAATTTGGATATAATGATAAATTACCAAGTATAGTTTAAAATATATTTATATTGCTAATAAGTAATGAAATAATTTATTTTACCATTAGTAATAAGGTAGGTTAAATTAATTTTTGCTGAAAACGTATTTTAAAAATAGCATAGTGTATAAAATATAATAATATACATATTATAAAAGTTTCAAGTACCCATGAATAATATTTTTAAATAACAAACAAATAACCAAAATCATTCTTCTTTGGTTAAATACCTAATTTCAACCAAATCTGGACTTCAAATGCTTAAAAAGAAATGTGCCATATTAAATATTTTTAAAATACTATTCTCACAACTTATGAGGATCTTTCTAGTATACATTTTTTGTAAATAATTATATTTTTTATTTTGAATTTGTCACTACATAAGTCATAATATCAGATTAGTATCACATATTTTGACATTTTGGACTGTACGTAATCTGTTTTCTCTTAAACAGTTTTGTCTTCTTATAGTATTTGTTTTGTATATTTTTGCTTGTTTGAACGTTAATATTTATTTAAGAAAAAATTATAATTAATTTCATAATATAGATTATGTTTGAATAATTGAGTAGTTGTCCAAACTTTATGACGTCAATATATATATAAAAAGCAATAATGACATTGATTAATTTCACTTAAAATCATTTTTTTTATCACTATACATTATTATTTATTAATCAATTTTTAACTTATTTTTAATACTTATTCATAAACCTTCATATTTAAATGAGTATTTAATACATAAGATTAATTTTTCTTCAATCAATACATTTGTTTGAAATGCAATAGTACCTATTAAATTTATATTTAATATAACCATTTAATCTCTCCTCCTCTCCCCCCCCCCAACACACACACACCCTATCATTGTACCTTGCATAGCTTTATGCGTCATTGACTCACGCATAATCTGTATTATGCTATCAATAACGAGAAAAAGAAAATATTTTTATCGTTCTACTCTAGAAAATATAGTTTAGGAAAGCTATAAGTGTTCATAAATTTCAAGTCGATTCAAACTCACACAGTGGAGACGTGGAGTTATGAAAATGATATAACCGTTGAAGGTTTTTTTTTTAATGTTTCATTAACTTTTTTTTTATTTCTTATCTAAGGATCTGATATCAATCATAGGATAATCCCCAATACTCAAGTGCTTGCGAGCAATAGTATTTAGTCCGTGTTAAGTATTTCTGTGTGTTATTGGTTACATACAAGTTAGGATTAGGGCAGATATTTTTTAGTATAAGTACTTATGTATTGTTTTGGAAATTGTACTGATCATAGTGATCAGTGCTTAGTGAAGTAATCCGATACCAAATTTGATTATCCAAAGACAAATAAACAGATTAAAATTCTACATTTGTCTTTACAAGTTCATAAATATAAATTACCAAATTGAGAAAGGTGAAGTTAAAAAGAGTATTAAAATTCATTACATTTCCAAATTTATTTTTAGAAGTGTTAATGGTATTTTATTAATCATTAGGTAAAAAAATTGACCAAAATTAATGTTTTATTCAAAATACTTAAAAAAAACAGGTTAGTAATCCCTATTAACCATTTAACTATAATTAAATCTATAATATTTAAGTTTAATGCAATTAAATAATTATATTAATTTCTTTATAATAATTGTGTGTATACACAAATATATAATGCGATTATCATAATGTGATAACATGGCATATTTCTATTTATTTTAAATCTTAAACCATTGCAATTTGAACCTTTAAGAAGATTATTAAATGTTTATTTGATTAACTTAATAAAAATTGTTTAAAATACATAATTTGAAAGTGTTAACTTTGTTTATTTCTATAGTTTTTCTTTTCTTAGTTATAAACATTATGATTTGTTATTTGTTATAAATTGAAAATACACTTCTTCTTAAGAGAAGCATAATAATTTGGTTTTTCTAATTTTGAAACAATCAATCCTATTTTTGAAAACAGCATAATATTATCTAATTTAATATTACTTTACTATTGCCGTCTATTTATCTTGTTAAAAAGGGGTCAGTTTAGAAGTTTGATGTTCCAAAAAATCTATTTTTAAACTAAAAATTAATTTATTACATTTTTTTTAAAGCTATCGCATAGCTTTTATTGCGGGCCTGGTTTGGTGACTGAATAAATATTTTTTGTAATGAAAAAGTGTGATCGTAAGTCGTAAGATCTTATTGTTATTATTATTATCTGCAGTCGTCGGCTATTTTCTTTTCGGCCACCTCGCTTAAAGAGTGTAACTTGAATTAATATCATACAAAAATTCATGATAAATAGCTACAAAATTGCTATGCAATAGCTTTACTGCGACAGTCCCTGAGTGCCTTGGTTTTTTTTGAATAAAACCTAATATATCTAAGAAATTTAGCTTTTATACAAGTCAATAATTCAAATATTAAAGTTACTATAGTTAAAATTAATAAACATTTTACTTATAGATGTGGATGTCTATGGGTACTGGTGCTAGAGTGAATTGGAAATATATTCATATGTCTGTACTTTTATCTATCGGATTTATATTTTCTTTGTTGCTGTTGAATTTTGCATACCTTGTTGGCCTCACACTATCAAAACATATATTTGCTTTTATGGTCATAGAGGTAATAATATTTTTTGTGATTAATACATTTATTTTAATTTTATTTACCTACATTATATATTTTTTAATATTAATACTTTTTACAGTGCCTGATGTTGGCTGGAAGTATTGTCCATATATTTCTTCGACATTATATCCAACTTTTTCATCGTAACTCTATAAACCATACAACTAGTCCTGGTAAATTGATTTACTATTCAGAGTTAGGTTTGGATCTCGGGATACGTGTGATGGAGATTCTTCATTATTCACATGCTATTATATGGACCAGTTCATATTTAACTATGGCTGGTTTTGTAATATTTATGCACATGAGACAACTAATCAGTGATATTCAAAAACGACTACAAAAACATAAGAATTTTCTTTGGGTCCATTCTCATCTAGAAAAAAAGTAAGTTAGGTGTAGACTTATGAAAATAAAATTTAGATATCCCTTATTAATTATACATTAAAAAAAATTACTTAATATGTTGTGTCAATAAAATGATAGATATTTCTATATTTTATTATGTTTGTTATAATTCAATACTTAAATAAAGATAACATTTTAAACTTAATTCTTTAAAATCATTTTAATCTAACTATATTTTCATAGAAATAAAATCTATAGCTATAAATAATATTTTCTATAATCGTTTCATGAATATATAAAACAGATTATAGTAGTATCAAAAATGTATTAATCCTTAGTATTACTAGTTATTGATGATCATATACATTAAATATTAATTTTATTAGTATTAAAATAATAGTATTTTAAGTTCTGATAACGTAGTTGTTGTTTATAATACTTAAAGTAAATTATATTTGTATTTATTAATGATATACTACAAATCTGGGTATAAACTCATAAAAAGTAGTCATTATAATATTATGTGAAAAACTGTGAAATTATTTACATTTGTCACTAATAAATTTACTTTTTGTGGTTTTAGACTAATAAGCGGAAAATACTTCTCAAAGTCTGATTATTGTTTAAAATATACGTATGAATTCATAATTCCTTGTTCTAGGTTATGTAGGAATAAAATTTATGATTATTGTATTAAATAGTAATTTTTCACACATACATACAGTCTTATAACATCAATTATTTTTCCTACACAACCTAGTAAAAAGCTATGGAATACATATCTTATTTAAAATTAAATCTGGTATTAGGAAGTAACAAAATATATTTTTCTCTTTTAGCTGTGCTGTACAATTTTTAAAAGCGGAAAATTTCAATAACTAAATTTGGTGACCCATGCATGTGTGACACTGCTCTTTGAATTGTAGACAATCTATTGGGGTCATTACCTTGCTAATCTATAGTATAATGTTTATAATAATGTTAATTCACTACTTACACAAAATACAGTTCAAATGTGCTTTTAATGTGAATAGCCCAAATATTATTTCTTAAAACATGCTGTCCCAACCCTATACCCCCTTTTGATAGGAGGTATTAGTAAATTTTAATTTGACAAAAAATGGTCTTGAATTGTTCATCCTTTTGCTTTATTAACCTTGGTTTGTTGGTTCATGTAGCATAAATAATATATTTTAAGCAAATAATAAATTATAAAATACATATTTTATAGGTACAACAATATTCAATATTTTCTATTGCACTTGCATAATTAATTTACAATATTGCTCTACATTACCCTCAATAACGAAACTATTTGTTAAGCATAACATTCAAATGAACCTATGCATAATAAAAATGTTTACTTAGATTATACAATTTGTTAGTAAATATTAAATGTGGAATTGGAGGAAAGAAAGTTAGGAATATTATTGATCCACTAGTCATAATAGAAATAATTGATGAACAAAAGGGTTAAATAAATAATGTTTTAAGGTATTCCTATGGGGGAAATGTATTAATACCTCAGCCTAATTATTAATTTCAAAAAAATGTGTATTTAAATAAAGTAATTAAGAAATTAAAGAATTAAAATATTATAAAAGGTGCTGCCAAACTAACAAAATATAAACATTGTCGAATAATGAATTGATACTGTATGATTTAATTTTTAATTTTTAAATTCCTAAGTGGGGTATAAATACTTTAAAAAAATTATTAATTTTTTTAGGTGCTTTCTTGAGTAAAATGGTGCAAATGTATAAACAACATACTGAAATATCTGTAGGAAATAACATTTTGTTAGGGTAAAATATTTGACTTCTATTAGCAAACTATCACTTTAAAATGTTTATGTTAATATGTTTTATGTTCTTCCAGTTTATTATTATTTATTGTGGTAAATATTTATTAATTTTATTAATATTTTAGCTATCCTATGGCAACTGCTGAAGAATTAGATACAAATTCTGATAACTGTGCAATATGCTGGGAAAAAATGGATTCTGCTAGAAAACTGCCTTGTGGTCATTTATTTCATAATGGATGTTTACAATCTTGGATGGAACAAGAACCATCATGTCCAACATGCAGATTGTCATTAACGTTAGGTCACAATCAAAATATGCCAATGAATTCGACAAATAATGGTGGCCAAGAGACACTGGGTACTCATACTCACATTCCTCATCATTTTTTCCACTTCGATGGTAAATTACAATTTTTTGGATTTGGAACATTTAACTAATTTATTTATTTATTAACTAAATCTAATTAGATTAAATAATTTAGATATGATTTTTTTTACACATTTTAATTTTTAGATTTATTTTAAACTAATGGAAATTATTTTAATTATGAATACATTTTTGAACATAACCATATAAACTTAATATGAAGTAATAAATATTAGTTACAAGTTTCAAACATAATAATATATAAATAAAATTTGTATTGATAGTTTTATTAAAAAATACTAAAATACTTATTTAAAAAAATGTGTTTGTTTGATTCTATACTTATAGGGTCTAGATATTTATCATGGTTACCAAGTTTTTCTGTTGAAGTAACACATTCTCTAAGACCTACAAGTCAAATACACACTTCACAAATGGAAACAATGGCTCGACAAGTAAGAATTATTCATAAATAAATTGTTTCAGTATTATAATCCATCTGTTTATTTATATATTAGGTTCTACAATTGTTTCCACACTTTACTATGCATTCAATTATTGAAGATTTATCAACTACTCGTTCTGTGGATTTAACTATTGATAACATATTAGAAGGTAGACTAGTGGCACCGCAACAATTTATTGAAGAGGAACCTGTTATTGTTGAAACTGTACCTATTGTTAACAGTGTTGAACAATTTATCAATACACCTACACCTGCTAGGTAAATTAGTTTTGCAAAATATTTTATTGTAGGTAGTTCATTAATACTTGTTATACTTATTGTTTATAATATGTTTATCAAGGATATATTATGTATATATGATTAAAATTTTAATGTTTTTTTTTTCAAATCACATTTAATATATTTTTATTTTGTTTTAGCTTCAACACAAATATTAGTGAACCTGCAATAGATGGACTCGTGAGTATGGGCAGCCAGTTTTCTAAATCACCCGATGAAAGAGAGAATATGCTCAGAGCTCGAAAACAGGCAATGATTATGAAGGCCAGACAGAGGTACATGAGCAAAGATGGAGATGGTTCATCAAAAACTGACTAATAATGGCTTCGTAAAGACACGCACACGCATACACACACATACTGACACAAAAGAAAGCTAAGACTGTGATTAGAAACCCATTATTTGATTTTAATTTAAGGATATAATATAAATTATTGTATCTGTATAATATAATATGCATAAGATTAGGTTTTGTCCAATTCAAAATACCAAAATAATTATAAATTAAAATAAATAATTATAAACATATGTCAAAATGATAACTGTTAAAAAAAATTGATAGGTGTCTAGAGGAGTGAACATTGTTGGTGTTGGTTATCCTACCAAGTAGAGCACACCAACTTTACTCTTAATGTAGTGTTCTATGTTTGAAAAATACTTGATCATCATTGAATATTTGGGTTTTATACATATTTTCTGAATTTTTAGATACCTTCTAGTAAATGTATTACCTTTCTGTAAACTAGAACTTTGTTAGTTATACATACATCTTGAATTAAAAATCCTTATTCAGTAGATCCCCTTATATTTATAACTAGAGTTAGAATGTTCATTTACCAGATTTATATTTGGTTTTTTTATCGTATAATTTAATTCATGCGGACTTTTTTGCTTTTGGACTAAAGGTAAATATTTTTCCATTTATTTACATATTTTGATATTTCTAACCTAGAACTAGATGTATAGATTATACCTAACATACATAAAATTTTTGAGAAAATAGTTTCCTGACTCTTGTAATATGTACAATATTTGACAATTTGTTGTGCATATTATTTTATACTTTTACTACTTTAATTGTGATTTAAGTCTCACCTGGGATTATTTTACAAAACAAATATTTTCAATGGGTTAAAATATTGCTAAACTATTGTTAAATTTATTAATTATTGCATTTATCAATTAAAAATGGGAAAATTGTATTCTTAATTGTAATCACAGATGTAAATGGTTATAAAAACACATTGTAAAATTGCTCAGTGTAGTTTATAGTTACAACAAAAATATTGTCGAAATGGATAAAGAAACATGTTTATTCATTTAATGGGCCAATTGTATATGTATAATACATAATGTATAGGGTTTGCAGTAAACTGTTAACAGTTTGTCATTACAATTCCAAGTTTGAGATTGAGTGATTTTTCTATAAAATGTAGTAGTTAGTACTACTGTTATAAATAATTAGACTTGGGTGTAACATTTATATAATATATATATAAAATGTTATAAAATATTTTGAATTAATTTTTTTTTTAATTTTAGTATTTGTCAGAATGTTGTGAAGGTACAATAGTTATGCAAGATTTAAAATTTATATAATTTAGAAAAAAGATATTCAATTGTATACCTTGGCAAAAACCACAAATATGTAGGCGACCAATTTATATTAAAAAAATTATATTTTTAATTATCATCAACGACTATAAGAAAGAAGGCCCAGAATTGAAGTAAACTTGTTTTACAAAGAAAATAATTGTGATGCAAACTTTTTTTAGAACATTTATTGTAAAGTGAATACTTCTCAAATAATTTTTTGTAACATGGTATAAATATGAGCCTTTTTTCTTCTTATTAATACATTCATACATTTATAACATATATTTATTTTTATTGATTATTTGTAATGAAATGGAAGGTATTATATAAAGTCAAGACCTGTCATGTAAATTAATGTATCTTATATTTAAAACATATATATTTTTTTGTGATAAACTTATATTAGGAGACTTTTTTTGCACTTCTTATCACCTCTACATTTCAATAAATTTACTACCTAAAATATTTAATGTACTTAAGTAATTATAAAATTGTATGTATTGACAGAATTATGTTAACATTCAGATCCTAGTCAAATTGTAAGTCCTATATTACATAAGTTTAAATATTTTAATTATTAGATAAATAGTAGTTTTTAGTATATATTATATTAATATGTTTAAATAAGTTAAAAATGTAAAAATGATATTAAATTTATTATTTTTGATGAAGAATAAAAATAAGCATAAATATGTGTATAAGTATAAATTATATTTATTTAACCCTTTATTTACACAAAATATATTTAGAAAAAAAATGAAGCCGTAAAATGCAATATAAATTTGAATCTTAATGTTGAATTTAACCTATGAAGTTTACAATAGTTAAGTGAAGGACGATATGTGCAAAAATAAAATCAGCAAAACCACGTTCTGGACTAATATCACTGAATTGTGCTTTGTTCTGTGGATTCGCTTGTAATCGTAAACATACTAAAACAAAATATATATTAAAACAATTAGAATTATTACATAAATAATTGGATTTGACACCACCCATAACAACATTAAGGACTCATGTACAATCTATTTTGATTCAGTTCTATTTATTCTGTGGTAATACTAATATACATGATAATACAAGTGTATTAACAGATAGGACTATCAAGTCAAAACTATATAGGAATTGAAACTCACTGTAATAGCAGCACCGAGCAGTAGTCGGGTTAGTGGAAAAGTACCTATAGTCATTAAATAGACAAAATAATGCGAAGTAATGATGTCAAAGGTATTTATAAATGCATGATTGAAGAAAAATAATTATTTTATTAAAATTATATTGACTTTAAATGCCATTTTAATAAATTTTAAAATAATTTATTTACACCAGGTAAATTATTTAATGCAGAATACTTATTATTAAAAAACTACTAATGTTTTTGAAAGAAAGATTTTTTATATGGTTTCTCCATTTAAGCTCGTTAAAACTTTAAATACTACTATTAACTAAAACTAGGTACTAGTTCTAACTTCAAGTAACACTGAATGATGTCGTTCAAAAAAGTAAAAATTTGATATTTTAACAATCTTGTTTTTTAATGACTAGAAACCATGTAATAATTTTTTTTTCTAATTTATTTTAACTTGTTGAAATAATGAGTGTCCAATGATAAAGGAATCTCCAGATATATGTACCTTACAATTGTGTAACTAATGATTGATCAATTGATCATTATATTTTCATATTATATTAGGTACATACCTAATGCATTTAAATCACTAAAAAATAAATTTTAAGCTTTAAAACATAATTTCAAAATATTACTTAAATTGGACATATGTGAAGTTATTGTTCACATTGAATTATTTTTAAGCTTGCTAATGCTAAATCTTACTAAAAAATATAAAAAACCCATTTTTTGTGAACTCGTTGAAACTTGGGAGTTTCACAAAGAACTATTAGATATTTTGAGACCTTAAGTACGATGAGTATTTGCAAGAAAATGTCTAATGTCTGAAACAACTAATGAACATCAACATAATTGTAATTGTGTAACTGTTACTATAATAAGAATATAATAGTTAAAAAATAAATAATATTCTTGTAGGTAGTAGATACTACCAGTACCTTATTACTTACCGCCGAGTACAAAACAGCTAACTGATGAAATAAAACCACTGAGGAACGAGTTAAATGGGAATGTTCCGACCAAACAACAGTATACAAATTGTACGATTCCAGTCAGCATTATGTACAACAAATAAGCATCGATTATCTTAAGTTTTTTCGATGTTGTCTTCGTGTAATCATCGTAAAACTTTGAAACAATTCCTAAGATTTTGGCCATTTTCAGAAACTATTGGATTTTTTTTCCAACTAAAACACTATTATAAATTAGTTGTGATTGGTCGTCGTTGAATATGAGATGAATAGACAGAACGACAATCAACAATAATAATTAATAATTAACATTTAACAACAAAACAAACGCCGTGACAATATTCAATAAGTCTACGTATAATATTCTAGTGTTTTTGATTATGGGTAGTGACTAGTGAATACTATCATCTACGTGGTCGTGACGTTATCACTAAAAAATAAAGTAATCAAAAACGAGTACGTGTTATCAACAGCGAACTCGCCGGTTCATGGACGAAACCGCGTAGATATAATATAATACATAGACATATTAAATAATATTTACTAGTTAATAATTTAATATATCTATGATATAATATTATTTATTCATGGCGATCGAGTACCACCTAATCCACGGTCTTTGAAGATATCTTCTAAGACCGTGGCCTAATCTATTCTGTAGCCAAACTGCGCAATCTAATGACCTAATACGCGCATGGTTCCGAGAACACTCGGATCGCGCTTTGCGCGTTTATTAACGACGTAAATACGATGTACCCGTTTTTTCGATATCATTCTGATTTTTTGGATTATTAATTATTATTTATGACACTAATTCTGCAGTTCATTTACGAGTTACGACATTTTACAGTTAATCACACATCGAGTAAAAACTATATTAGGTAGAACTGTATGTCTGTATGACTGTATAAGTGATATAAAAACTCATCACGTCGAAGATGTGTCTCCCTTAGCAAAAGACATTAAATTACACCAGAACAAAATAAAAAGGCTCCTGAACACCGCGTTGTCATGTCGATCACGAGTATCGATTTAACACAACCGACGTTGCATCCATGCATATAGCCATATAGGATTATAAGGTCGCGAAGCAATATTATGTCGCGGTCGCTGCCAGACGATTTTTGGCCCACCCTTCTCGTCGACGTCAAAAATCAAAATATACTGCGAGTCCTGTCCTGTATTCATTATTGGCCCCAGGAAGATGTATATGGGTACATGGGGACGGGGGTGATATAGAGCGCCTATTTTTTAGGATATAGATAGAACCCACGGCTGGCTAGTTTCAAAATGACAAAATGTTAACATGTTATAATTGAAATTATATAAAAACAATTTTTTTACATTTTAATTTTAATTTAGTTCATTTATTTTAATTTAACAATAGAACATACTGGCTAGTGTCTACTTGGAACTTGGTATTTAATAGTTACTAGACCAAAACGATCATACAATTATTGTTATATAATATGATCGTTACAAAATTGTATAGGTACAGTTTATGACACAATTTCGGGGTAGATACACATTTAAGCAAAACAACGAAATAGAATAAATACTAAATAGCTAAAAAATAAATTATTAACACAAACAAAATACTATAGTATGTATCCATGCAAAATCTATAATAAATACCATTGTACCAAATATTTACAAGTTGGATTGTACGAATAAAATAATAACTACCAGAATTGTCTTTCATAAAAATAGTAAATGATTGACAATGTCATGGTTCAATAATACTTTTTATGGTAAATCGGTTGGTCGATAATTTTTTCATATTCGATGGAACCTTTTGGAGTAGGTAATACAAAATTCTCCAATTTCATCAAAACGAAAAAAATGTTTTCTATATTTTTAAATTTTCCCTCTTCCTTAGTCAAGTTCATTATCTTAATTCGCGATTGTAATATAGATACACGTTCGAGAGATTTTTGGAATTCGTCGTTGGCTCAACTGATCTCCTAAAAATCGAATAGCTGTTATCACGTATCAGGATGGAGATTAGTATCTTTAATCGTGGTTGTATAATAATTTGCTGACACCAGCCTGCTTGTTGTCTGGTTTTTTAGGTGAGGTGCCCCCGCGATCAGCAGGTTACCAGGTAACTGGTGTCGTTCAGGCTACCACAAAAAGAAAAAAAAATACTCATCGGCAGCCGTCGTCGTTGCCGAGCGCGTCACCGAGGTCCCCGACGTGATTCGTCGAGTGGGAAAATTCCGACTTTTCGTTTATTTTTTTTCTACTATTTAGTAACTAATATCGTCTTCTGTCCGCAATCGCTTCGATCGGGAATTTGGGACGCTCAGTCACGACTCACGTTCGTCCCTCAGTCGTTACTCGATGCAATTTAGTTTTGTATCACTTTTCCTTATCGCGTCAGTCACTCTCACTCGCCACTGACTCAGTCTTGCGGCTGCAGCACTTAGAGCATACGGACAATTATTGAGAAATCATACTCGCGGCGAACACCGATCAAACGATAAATAAACAACAGTTCGAGACTGGACAACTGCATTCGACGGAATCGTCGTTTCCGCAGGTAAGTGCTCAACGTCCCGATTTCGTTCTCGTCACTCTACTCGCTCGCCCGCTCTCGCCTTTCCGAGAAGGCGTCAATCGAGAACGATCAATTTACGCGATCGTTTTAACGGAAACTTCTCCTTATACAGCGATTGGGCACGGTCAGTGTACCTCCCCGCGGGCGCCCGATGACGTGACCTTATTCGTTGCCGCGTTTGCCGTACTCCGTGCATATATCGTAATACCCTACCCATTCTCCCACGTAATATGGGTGGGGGTGGTGGAGTTGCTCGCTGGATTCCCGCGCGTACCGCAAAGGTAGTAATTTTTTATTAAAAATAAAATCTCATCGAGTACTTGTATACCTATACTTGTGTCCCGGAGGTCCAGACCAGACTCCGGACGTGTGATAACGTTTTTCCGTGGGCACCGCGAAGCCTTTAAGTTTCTTCTCAGGCGACACCGTCGTCCGACCACGCCAAAATTCGAATCGGTGGCCGTTGCGCAACGGTCGATTTCCCCCCGTTTCGAGCCAAAACGGTTTGTCGAACGTCAAAAGCCAGAAAACCATCGTGCGTGTGCGTGTTGACACCGATTCAAACACTTTCTAGTTTTCAACGTCCGATTTTTCGCCGTTAAACGCTCGCCGCCCATCCTGCCGGTGATTGTCGCGCGCCGTCCTAGCACGCCCAACTAGAGACGTTCCTATTCTTATTATTACTATTAATTATTATCATAATTTATCATTATTATCATCGTCATCCGCGCTATCGTTGTCGCCGTTACTATATAGATTATAGTTATTCATACAAGCCGCTTTAACCTTAAATCTGTTGGATGCCGTTTTTCAAGGTTTTTCCGATCCGTTTGTCAGCCGCAATCCGCGTTACCTCCTAATCGGCCGATTGTTTCACTCAATAGTGCATATATGGTAATATTTTGCTTGTGGTCAATTGATTTATTTATAACGCTGACGGTCGTCGTCACTCTTTACCATATTTTGTATTCGATATTAACTACGTTATCACGTTCAGTAATTGCTCGTTTTACACGGTTCCAGTACCCAATTAGCGCAAGTACCGTACATTTTCTTAATTTTAAAAACCTCAATACATGTCGTATTTTGTAAAATCATAATTAATTGTGATTTAGAATTAAATATAAAATTGTGTGTTCGCTGTTAGTGTTATTATTAATTACCCAATAAAGATGCCATAATTAATACCCTCTTATATTCATTGATAGATACACAGTATAAACATGTTTCTGCATGTAATTATCTCCGAGTAATAAATAGATGAGAGATCGATATTGTGTATTTAATACTTTTTCGTTGTTGACTTAAGAAATTGAAATTTTTATTTCCTAGGAACTTAAATTTCAATTACCTAATTTAAAATCAAAATTAATTACATGAAAGAAATATTTAGTTTTTATAACTTACCTTAGTATTTTTAGTATCTATAATAAGGGTATAAATTATACAACAAAAATGTTTCAATCTGAAAAAAAAATCCATTAAAATTATGAGTGGGAGATTTTTTTAAGAATAACATGTAGGTACTTAATAGGCAATTTAAGAAATTTATTAATATTTGAATCATCTTGGATCTCCTACTGAAATAGTTACTTTAAACTGTAATATTGTCATAGCAGTTAATTAAAATATTAATATGTGTATCAGTGAACTTAGAAGAAGTTGTAGTTAACAATACATTGTAGTTTGTTTGCTATTTAGGTACTTTTTATACATTATGTTTAAGCTAAATTTATTAAATTATATATATTATATATTTATATTCTTGCTGAAGTACCTTCGATGGTTGGTCTCTTCCGTCTATTTTGTTCTATTTTTATTACTTAAGTTTATTGTTCATTAATTGTAACAGATAGCGTTATATTGAATTTTGTTAAAAAAAAAAAATGTTTAAGCTATATTACTCAAATATTTGTTATTAGTAATAATATAAACATATTTTATATTTTTTTAGAACCTCAATCAAATATGGCTATAAATGTGTATTCAACTAATGTCACATCTGATAACCTAAGTCGTCATGACATGTTAGCATGGGTAAACGATACTCTGTCTGCAAGTTTTACGAAAATAGAAGAACTATGTTCAGGTGCTGCTTACTGTCAATTTATGGATATGTTATTCCCTGGTAAGTAATTATAATTACTAAATTATAAAATTAATAGATTTTAATGTATTTAATTTGTTTTATTAAAATGTAGGTAGGTATAAATAATTATATTACAAACTGTTCAACAAATATTTGTAATAGTCCAATTCTTTTCTATGTTCCAATGTCTTATGCAATGTATGGGTGTTATAAACAAAATTTTTATTAGAAGGTTTATTAAATAGTAAATAATTGTATCCATCTAAATGATCCTTTTTTTGTATCCGCCTATAATGCCTATATGCTCTACCAATTAAATGTTTAACGAACCAATTCATAGGTTAATTCAATCAGCCAATTTGGACGACCCCTCCTTAGAATAAGAATAAACTGTATCTTATGAGTATAACTGATGTGTTTTTCTGTAAATAAAACTAAAATATATGTATATTTCATGTATGTATTAAAAACATAACCCGCCCATTAAAATAAAATATATTATTTCTGTTAAGAGGACGTGATGCCTGCATGTGTTGTCTCCGTCTTACAAGTGCATAACGTAGCAAATTGTACACTCAGCAGAACACGTGTAGCTCTGTTAATTTAAAAATTAAAGTGAATTGACCCCTTATAAAATTTAAAGGTAAGATTATTATCTAGGCAACCTCATAGGCTTTTTATTATATTTTTATTTTAACGCGAGTTATATGTATTTTAAGATGTATAAAAATTTTACAATTTTAAAATACTCATAACTCACGTTAAAATTAAAATATAATAAAAAACCTATGAGGTTGCCTAGATAATAATCTTACCTTTAGATTTTATAAGAGATCAATTCGCATTAATTTTTAAACTAACGGAGCTACACGTGTTCTGCTAACTTGTAAGACAGAGACAACACATGCAGGTATCACGTCCTCTTAAACTATCAACAATATTTGTAAATCGTAAATGAATATAATAACTGGTGACAAGTATAATTTAGTATTACTTAATAAAATTTTGTAATGTCTCAGTCAACTGTAGTTTGAAAGACAAAAAATGAATACGGTTTGGTTCACATGACTTAATTTGTCAAATCCTAACATATTGTACAGTTAGTATTTTTATACTAAACCTATATTCCCGATACAGTGAAGTATTTAGGCCTCATCCTAGACAAAAGAACCTCAAACCCACACATCAGATCTAAAAGATAAATTTTAAACTCGTTTTCGTATGCTCAAAACTATGTATGTAAAAAATAAATGCACAAAATTAAAAAATAAACTTCTAAGCGACAAAACATTCTTAAAACCAATCTGGACTTACGGTCTTCAACTATGGGGTTTGGAAAAATAATTGAATCTACACAAAATCCAAACTTATCAAAACTTTACATCAACTTACTAATACTTTGCCATACATTTCAAATCTAACACTCCACCATGATTAACATGTTTAAACGTCAAAAGAAGAATCTGTAATATTTTACAAGCAATTTTTCTCACATTTGGCAAACCATAATAACCCATTAATTAGTAACTTAAATACCTTAACGCTCCCTGATGATCCTAGCTGTCGACTGAAAAGGAGATGGTACAGACATCTGTTGCATTAAATACACCTAAACTCCAAATTGCAAACTCCCAATATCTTAGTACCTTATCATTTCACAAACACCCCTCAAGCAAAGAGTCACCAATAGTTGACTTCTTAACCACATATTCCTATTTCTTTTAAGTCTCTTTTCATTTAATATATTTATTATGCTACCTACCTAGTATAGATTGTATAATTATTATGAGAAATAAAAAAAAAACCTATATTTTATGAACAAAATTTGAAGTGGTACAATATTAATACAATTTTTAATAAATATTTGGTGAATTAGTTAATTAATTAAAGTATTGAAAAAAAATGAATCTAAATTATAAAATATTAGAAATGCTTGGATAGTATAACAATGTCAAAACATATTTTTAATATTTAAAAATTCTTCACACTTGTGTATCCAAATGTTCATTCATGGCAATGTTGAAAAAATTATCAGTCATAAAAATAATTTTCTTCTATTACAAATTTTAACTAATGCTTACTAAAATCATTATATTGAAACAAACTGTAACTGTTAAGGTGTTCTCTCTTTAATTATATGTTAGAATATACATTTGACCTTCACAAAGCATCATAAACTTGTCTTTATAATAGTAAACCTAGAATTGTAGGTACTTGTTTATATCTAGTTCATTATTAAAATCATAATTTAGTACTTAAACTTACTTAACATATATGAATAATTATGGCTAAAGTATCTTATAGTTTATACCTTTAAGGCTTATATTATTATTTCCTAAAAAACTCAAAAAATAGTTTATGATTCCACATTATGTCAACTTTTTATAAAAATGTTTTATTCATTAAATTTTCATTATAATTGATTTTATAGGTAGTGTGCAAATGAAACGAGTCAAGTTTAGAACAAATCTTGAACATGAATATATACAAAATTTTAAAATACTTCAAGGAGCTTTTAAAAAGATGGCAGTTGACAAGGTATGTTGAAAGTTTAGTTCATATTTTAAAAATTGTAGGCAATAACAAAATTAATTTTTAAATATTTAATTTACTAAGATTTAAAATAAGTCTACATTCTTCTACTAAAGTTAGATAAATGTAGGTAGAAACAATACTGTATATTTTATTAATTTTCATAATTTTATAATATACTGTGTATCAGTTATAATACGTTGGGTGTTATATTTATGGGTTTTGTATTAACCCACAATTGGGATGGTAAAAAATTACTTTACAGGTGATACCTGTTGACCGCTTAATCAAAGGACGTTTCCAAGATAATTTTGAATTTTTACAATGGTTCAAAAAGTTCTTTGATGCTAATTATGATGGACGTGATTATGATGGCCTTGATGCTCGTGGTGGTGTTATGATTGGTTCTGGTGCAGCAGAAGTCTGTGGTTTTCAAGCACCTCCACCATATCGTGTACCACAAGCTGCTCGCGCTTATAAAAGCCCGTCCTATGGACATGGTATTAATAAATACTCAATTTTTGTGTGTTTATTAGTCAGGATAATTATAATTAGTGAACATTCAAAACTTAGATTTAATTTTCATTTGCAAAAAGAAAAAAGTTAAATATTTATTTATTTCTTAAAAATACTTATTCCTGCATGTCAATATAATATGATACTTTATAATTATAGGCTTTGTATTAGTTATTATTTACAAAATTCTATTTTGTAAAATAAAAAAAGAATAGCAATATCATTGAATATGGAATGTATACAAATTTCTTTATAGTTAAATCATATTTTAGATAGAATGTTGGTATTTAAAGTTTTATTTTATTTGATTCCTTTTTTTTTAAATAGTTGTTTTTATATTTTTGTTCGTTTTTATTGTTTTATAGGATAGAATATTATATAATTATAATATATTATAATTGATGTTCAATAGTTATATATGTTTTACTATATTTTTAGATTTCCATACAATTTTAATAAAAATAATATTAAATTTCATTCTACAAATCATAAAACTTGTTGTTTGAAATTTTCATGTTAAACGGACTTATTTCATAGTAACAAAATACCTAATAAAATTGATGCTTTACTTTGTTTCACAAGACAATATGCCGCAGCTCGGCCAAAATTGGTTTCCTCCGCATTTCCATGTGACACCTTGTCACAGGAAAACCAGTTTTGATAGCATGGTGAAGCAGAAGGGGGGATGCAGAGAACTGGCATGTTTTCTTGTAGAACAGAGTATAGACAACTTCTTAAGCAAAAAAAAGAAAATATTTATCAATTAATTTATTCTCATTTTTCACGTTTTCTCTAAAATGCCATAATTGAATCTCAAGGATTATTGTTATACTCTTTAAGATTGAATCAATTATGTACAGTGAAACTTCAATACAACAAAGTCGAATAAGCAGCAAAAAAAATTTGTAATATGGAGGAATTCGTTAAATAGAATTACGTTTTTTTTTTCAACTTTTTTTAAAAATTGTATTGTATGTATGTATATACTTCTATGTTGTATATGTTAAGTAAAAAACAACATCAAATATAATATTACAGTTTAATTTAGTTTTTAATTTTATAATTCAAAAGAAATAATTAATGAGTTTTGTTTGCTTATTATTTTTATGAATTGTACTTTTTTTGTAAAAAGTTTCTATATCAATAACATTTAAAATACTGCAATAAAACTAATGAGTTTGCCTACCACCGATGTCTTATCTTTATTGGATACATTGTTCATGTACAATTTTAAACTATGTTTAACATATTTTGATAGTGACAACATTTACAAAAACAGTTTTTATCGAATAATTATTTCGTTATATAGAAACATCAGATTTGTTATACAGAGAAAATTTACGTGTAATTAACAATCGAGGTCATGGTTCTCAAAAAAATTTGTTGAATGGTAGTTCGTTTTATGGAAGTTTCACTGTAATTTAATAATCTTAACATTTTAATTTTATTATGTTAAATAATAACTATTTAATAATCATTTATTTACTATTTGATTAAAATATAAATTATATTGCCTTCACGTTTATAATTGTGGATATTGAATATTTGTGGAAAAAGCTTTAATAAGTTTAAAAAAAATTTTATTTATTATTATTATTTTTTTTTTAAATATTTATTTTTTTTTTAAATTTCATCCATTTTGTTTATTTTTATTTTGCAGATAGTACCTATAGATAGGCTGGTCAAGGGGCGTTTTCAGGATAATTTCGAGTTTTTGCAATGGTTCAAAAAATTTTTTGACACCAATTACCAAATGAATGATTACGACCCAGTAGGTGCGCGCAGTGGTGAGGGAATGGGAGCAGCCGGTGCAGCAGCCAGAGCAGGTCCTGTCAAAAAGCCATCGGCGGCAGTACCGCCTAGAAATGCCACCACCCAAAATCGTTTATTCCGTCCCGCGAGTAACAGCAATAGTTCGTATTTTTAACTCGAAATTATCCCAAATTCCCAATATTATGCTTTTTATGCTTGATTTTAATTAATTTTTTTTTAATTGACTCAATAATCAATGTTGTATTTATTGTTATTTAATTTATTAAATTGATTTTTAGTGTCTAATCGTGTACCCTCAACAAGACCAGCAGCACCAGCTAGTCAGCGTGATAGAGGGGATCACAAAATTGATGAACTTACTAGACAGGCAAGTTCAGAATTAATATAGATCATTTCAAAAATGTAATTTATTTAATTATTTTTACTATAGATGAGTGAATTGAGAGTTACAGTTGAGGGCTTGGAAAAAGAACGCGATTTCTATTTTGGTAAATTGCGTGACATTGAGGTGATATGCCAGGAACAAGAAAGTGAACATCCATTATTCTCTAAAGTATTGGAAATTCTTTATGCCACTGAGGTATGTAACAATGGGTTTTTATTTTTTACAAATACTTGTTAATGATTGCTAATATCATGCAATTATTAATCTTAATGTTAATAACTGATTATCTTAAATCATACTTTGGATTCGTATTATGTTCTATATTTTCAATTTTGTAATTTATTATACATTTTAATTATAAATAACTAGATTATTCACTATTAGATTTTTAGGGTCTTCTTTTGGCTACTTATCAATTATTTTGTTAAAGGAATTTTGTACTTAATGTTGGCTAAAAACATTGTCACTGGACATTCCAAAAATATATTTAACCTAACAATTTTATTCTAATTAAAACCACCAAGACACGTTACAATAAAATGTACAAGTTACAAAATACTCGATCCAACTCACAATTTAACATCTGTAAAGAATATGTTGTAAATGAATGTACAATTGAATGATTTTCTTGATTTTAAAAACAACAAAAAAAAATATCATAATTTTGACTCCTTTTGTAGATTTTCTAAAGAAGTAATTTTTGTTGCTTTTGTGTTATTCAATTTTTTATTAGAAGCTTTCAACCATATTCCAGAGCGGTGGTTCTCAAACTGTTCTCTAACCCTTGGGAGTACTCAAAATTGTTTAGGGGGTATAAGTCTGGTTGACTATCCTTTAAATTTAACTAAAGGAAAAAATTCAAAAATTTTGGGCATATAATTTGTGAATTTCATGTTTAATATGGTATTATATAGCATTACTATACTAAATAAGTCTTAAAGATTTTTTTATAAATATTAGTTTATTTACTGAGAAGGGGTAATCAAAAAATTGTATTGGTAAAAGGGGAATTGTGCCTATACAAGATTGAGAACTCCTGTTCTAGAGTGTTTAATAATTGTAGTTCGACAGTGAGATGTATAATGTTGTATTGCCGCGTCACCATAGGTTAAAACTTCTATTTAATATTTTAATTAATGCTATAATTACATGTGAAGACTATTTTTAACCGTGGCAACTGAGTAATAAATTAAAAATAAAACACTAAGGACATTAAATTTGGAAATAACCGTCATACATACTGCATAGAAAATTTGAAAAAAATAAGAAAATACTAATCAATTACATGTATATAATAATTATTATAAAGTTTGAGGAAGTAATTATTCAAAAAAATAATTTATTAATTCTTTATTATAAAAGTTATTGCTGTTGGGTATAAATATTCATCGTATGAAAAAAAAACAAAGGATAGAAGGTAGTAATGATGAGTTTAGTTATACCGTCCTTCCTAAGGATAATTCATGTGCACCCAAGAGTGCATTTCCTTTTTTACTTGTGATTTGCCAGTTTTTAACAACCCTATTATAACCGGGTTGCATGAAAAATGTATTCATTTAATGGATCAATCATGAGCCCACTAAATCAAGTTTAAAGGACCATTTGCTCACTATTGATTCCATAGATGATTAGTGATGCAACCTGGCTGGCATATATGTTTTTAATTTTCCATGATTTTTAGCATCTATATTATTTATAAATAATAAATATTTATATAGATGCATACTCACAAAGTTGAACATTTAGAGGAAGCTACACCTGCATAAGTTGTCTCTGTCTTATAAAATGTACAACATAGCAAAAACTATTTTGTTCTGAACTATACTCCCTCTGTATTTATTGTAGAATTACCAAAATTCCACAACACTCTAGAACTTTATCTGTCTTGGCGTTTTAATTTTTTTGATAGCACTAACAAATAATTATTAAATGATAAAAAAAAAGTTAATGTTCTCAAACTGATTAATTTTATTTATGTTATCCAAACGATAATAACTCTATGACATAGATAAGTTCTTCTCTATGAGTTGTGGAATTGTAGTAATAAATTTGACAACAGTTTTTTCTATGTTGCACATTTGTAAGACACCCAAAAACAAAGACAATACATGCAGATGTACCATCATTTTAACATTACATATATTAAATAATATTGAAAATAATAAATAACTGTTCTAATAAGATGATTATTTATTGTATTTTAGGAAGGATTTGCTGCTCCAGAAGAGGTTGATACTAACAATCATGATGATGATGAAGCTTACTAATAGAGTCTCTTATTTAATTTTTTTACTTAATTATGATTTTTTTTAATGATATTTATTATATTTTACAGTACGCTATATAATAAACTGCTAAAAGCACATGTTCAAAATTGTGTACCGTTTCTTTTTAATTTTTTTCTTTGTTTCTATATTATTTATAATTATTCAAAGATGACCGTTACACCATGGCTCAAATAAAATAAGCGGCCCATCAGTTAAAATTAATAATTATTTTTATTTATAATATATATGCATATATTACATATATATATATTTAGTAATAATAATTTATTATTTTATGAAATTGCCTGTTAAATATTCAATAAAAATTATTAAAAAAAAGAAAAAAAGTAAAACATAATTTGTATCACAAAGTTGTTTTTTTATAACTATTATGATACATACAATACATATTTTGTTAAATTATTATTATCTTAAATTGAAATTTATGTATGAACAAATATAAAATACTTTAACATGGTCTATATTGGATACAATTTTAAATTACCAATGGTTTCATGAAAGGTGAATTAAAAACATGAATACATTTTTTAAACGTAAACTCATAGTTACGTAATCATAGCAATGACAATTGTTCTCTAAGATCGTCTATGTTTAATTCGGTGTCTTTAACTAAGGATTCTTCATTTGGAGCTGTTCGATCAGCAGATTGATAAGCAAATTCTATTCCTTCATTCAGTGATAGATATTCTTCATCACTCTTTATGCTGTTATTTTTATTTTCATTTTCAGTTTTTAATGGTTCAACAAGTTCTGTTGTATTATTTGACAATGTAGGTTCATCTTCCGCTAACGATATCCCTAAATATTTATTTTTATTAGTAAGAACCCAATAAATTGTAATTAGTTAGATATAACATGATATATAATGTATTTTAATACTAACCCCATTCATTATTTTCGTGGGTAACTATATCTTCGGGTAAATCTACATTTGTGCACTCAGGTTCCTCTTTCACCCTATTTTTAAATTCGGTTTGTTGTTTTAAACAGAAATTATCACTACAATTTGGGTTTGGTTTAATCATCATGCTTGGAAAGAAATCAGATAAAGCATTATATCCTAAGTACCACGATACTGTTCCAAAACCTAGCAATTTCCTAAAAAAAAACATCCGCACATTTATATTGTAAATTAACCAACTTATAAAATGGTAAAAATTACTTTAATGAATTTTGAACAAGCAATCCTGCGACAACACCCATTGTCGTTGGTAAGCTTGCTGCACAAACTCCGTCCTTTTTTAAAGTTTTTTCATCTATATCAGAAGCGACAACCAATGGAGGAGCACACTATAAATTTTGGTAATCATACAATGAATGAATGAAAAGTTTCACTTTGGTGTTAATGCAATATATATTACCGCAAAGCAAGCAGATTCTCCGGGCACAATATACTGAATATGTCCACATACAGCATTCTCACTAACACCCGATTCAAACCAATTTAGTCCTAATTCATTACATGCTGCATTAATTGTCATTCGGGCTTCATAATTGTCTACACAGCTCAGTACCAAATCAACTCGATCACCATTAATTCCTCCAGTCCTATTTAAAGGCAGAATAAATGTTAATACATTGTTTATAATACACATCAAAAATATTTGAGAAATACTTTAAGACGTTCAAGAACTCTTCAAATTGGGCAGTAAGAGTGATGTTTGTATTGTATGTTTCAATCTTGACGTCTGGATTAATTCTTGTCAATGTCATTGATGCGGCTGTAACCTTGCTCAGACCCGCTTGAGACGGTTGGTAAAAGAGGCGGTTCATATTGGCAAGCTCAACTTTGTCGTAGTCGAACAGTACTAACTGAAAACAATATAAAAGACGTGTCAGGCAAGCTCTCAAGTGAAATGTCAGCACATTTGATTTCTTTCTTAGACCCACGCATAACATAGTTAATTTAAAATGTATTGTTAGCTTTAATATTAAAAGGGAATTAGCCGATAATCAAACTTAATACAACAAAATGTATCCATGTTTGTACAATGTAATTTTTTAGGATTTTTTAAAATTTGTATTAGTGTTATGAATGATAATGTACAGTATAACAATTTAAAAAAACTATTATATATTAAAAATTAAAAATATGAAAAAGCAAACAACATAAAAAAGATTCTGCTTCAAAGAAATTTGTAATGTTGATCGTGGGTTGGAGAGAAAAAACAGTTTGGTGCACTTATTTTTAATTAACAGGCATTACTTTTCCTATGCCGCAACGCGTGAGCATTTCTGCGGTGACACTGCCGACTCCACCAACACCAACCACGACCACTGTGTATTTCCTGATGTCCTCGTAATTCTTCACGATGCCCATTCGTTGCAGAGCCATTAATCGGCTGAAAGAGTCATGTCATAAAATATATTGTTATTAATCACAACTAGACACAGACATCAGACGCCGCACTCACCTGTAAGGGTTCGAATCAACAACTTCGGCGGACATCTCACGGACCTTGTGCTCCGCCGCAGTCTCCTTTGTGCCCGGCGCTTCTGTCAGCTCTATCAGAGTCTTCTTGAAGTTCTCGATGCGCTTTTTGATGTTTTCCACATCTTCCAGTGACATTTTGGCGGACGGTCACGAAAAATACAATTAGTCTGCTGCAAGTGAAACGTCTACGAAGGCGTTACAGAGTGTAACCGTGTGTGCGGCAAGAGTGCAAGACTACGAACGTAAAAGTAAAAGTTGCTCTACATCAGCGCACACCAGACGTGTACAAACTACATAAAAGTATCAAGCAGATTACGCGTGTCACTACTCACAAAATAACAAAATAAATACCGCGCCGAGCTGATAAGACGTAACGGACACGACGATTGCGATTACATTATTATATGGGTAGGTATACCAATATACCATAGACTAGGAGAACTCGTGAACGTTCGATTCTGTGGTTTGAACGTTTCGTTGTTTCTGAACAGATTTGCCAGTGGACCTAAAATTGTCAACGAAAAACCAGACGTGCGGGGATACGTCTTTTTGCAAGCTATTCGTCTGTTAACGCCATCGTCGCCATCTTACAATTTTTTCTTTATATATTAATCTCTATAAAAGACTTTATTTCTATCAGAAAATCTATATCCACAGAAAAATTATTGAAATATATGTATCATGCGGATGGTACGATAAAAAAATCGCTAGAACAAGATAACCCATCAATTTTTTGGGAAATGAATACTTTAAGAACTCAATTTACCAACAAACTAATTTACTATAAAAAGTAAAAACAAATTTTAAGGGATCGTAAATCATCTAATGTACCGGTTCTCGAAAGACTACATGTTAGTACACGGAAGGCCTTAAGTATCACTGAACCAGATATTTCATCTTCGCTATATTAAATCTACAAATCCATGGTTCTCATTGAAATGTTAATTAATTCATACTTAATTTTTAAACACTAATAAATTAGTATTAATAAATAAATAATATCTATAGTATTTTACTGAATTTTTAATTAAAAATAAATGTATTTAACTATGAAAAGTTTGTATCTTTCTATTTTTAATCATCAGTGGTACACGAAAAAAAAGTGAGAACCGCTGATGTAATGTCTCATCTGCTCCGATCCTTGAATAGCTTTAACAAAGGTAGAACCAATTCTCAATATTGAAAGATTCAGGTTTTTGGTTGTTTTTGGAAATCTTAAAAATACATAAATCAAAAAATCAAATTTTTACTCCAAAATTGATGGAATTCTGTATGTTTGTAAACTTTGTTTCTATTCAAAAAAATGTTTTGATTTTCAACTTCAGTGTCTTTTCTGGGGGAGGAGGAATGTTTTTTGTTTATTTAACTTGCTATTATATACATATCAATCTTCATAAAAGATAGAACATTCAAAGTATTTCTTTGAAAAAATTTAATATCATATATTATTTAAAAATTTTAAAAATAAAGTACAATATTAGATTATAATACAGTCACACAATGTTCAGCTAAGAGTATTGAACTACATTCAAAAATCACTAAATACTATTTTATGGGGATTTCAAGTACACGTGTAACATACAAATTTTTATTCTTAAAAATTGAATTTTCTAAATCTTTCAACCTAAGATTGCCTTAAAACATACTATTATACATCTTATTTGGTCCCCAGCCTGTATTATTATATATGAAAAAAATTAAACATACATTAGTAGTAAAACAAAAAATAATGATAAATAAATATTTTTTTTCATAAAATGATATTTTTGTAAGATTAATGCAATAAATTAAAATAAATAATAAAAACATTTTGTTTGTCTTTACATGGAAATAAAATATAAATATACCATGACACTATTGTTAACAAATTTCTTTTAATTTAATTGATAGCCTTGATATACTCTTCATTATTATTAAAATAAGGTAATTTGATGATAAAACTTATCATTAAATTATCCAAAGTATGAGTAAATTTCATATCAGTACAATTATCATGGCACGGAAATAAAATTGTGTTAACATTGCAGAGATTTCCAGGCTGAGTAAAAAAACTATAAATAAATTCTTGGACTACATTTAATTTCTGTTTATTTTTTTTGGTTAAACATGTATTCTTACTAATAGACTTTGTATCACTAAAGCATTTATACGATGTTACTGAAGTACTGAGTTTCAAATTCTGTTTTAAGTCAATAAAACATATACCAACTGGGTATCCCAAGCTCATAGTTATTATTATAATATTGGAGTATCCAGTTTCCCTAGCACTATCAATTAATTTTTTTTCAGACATTAGCGATCGTTCTTGTATAATGGAATTTTGTATGACATGATTCAAGATTGATAGAAAGTTTTCCATTACTTCTGTCAGGATTATACCCGATAGGGATGTTGTAAGCATAGTTTTTCTACAGCTCTTCAAATCTAAGCAACTTTCCATCATTTCAGAGCTGTTCATTAATGATTCATCCAAATTAATGATGCTTGTATTGACCTAATAAAAACAAAAATTTTACAAAATATTTCATCACTGTTTTAACAAATGTTTCAGTTATACATTTTTTATTTAATTGAAATAAAATGAATAAATACAATTTGTATATTACAAAGCATTAATACTTGGTATTTTTAAATACTTTAATTGAAGCCTTTATAAGGTAACTAATTAGTAAATTAGATTACAATAGGTGTTTACTGTTTAAATTGGAAGACACTAATTGTTGCAACATTGTTTCATATTGTGCTCCGTATATTTAATAAGTGTGTAAAAAAGAAGGTAACATGTTACCTACAAATCTAATTTTACTATATTTAACTCAACATGAAATAGTTTAGTAAAAACTCAGCTTTAGAGGCCATTTTTCAAATTTGAGTTCAATGTAGGCCATTAGTCACAATATTATTTTAGAAAATGTTCCAATAAATAGGTTAACTCTAAAAAATTAGGCACAGATGACTAAAATATTGGGAACAATTAACAATTAAGTTGTTATTCTCATAAAATATAGAGTAAGTAAATTATATTAAATACCGGTAATTTTGGCATTAAGCCTAAGACAGAATTGTCCTGAATTTCATCAAAGCTTGAATTGTTCAAATCTTTACAAGTTTCCATCATTACTGGGCTGTTCATTAATGATTCATCTAAATTAATGATGCTTGTATTGGCCTAATAAAAACAAATATTGTATACATTTTATAAAACATTTCATTAAGTATCTACCTAAAATATAATATAACTATTTATTTATTTATTTAACGCCAAACGGCAATTTATAGATACATTGTAATAATTATAGACTTAGGTTTAAACTTATACTAAATAGTGTTCAGTGAAAAAGAGTACATGCTAAAGTAAAATAAAACTAAGGACCAAAATATTTAGTAGAGATAAATAACAACATAGTCAACTCAGATCAGGAGCTATTAAGTAGGCGGAGCATTCTATGTAATGGATTATTATGGGAGTAATTAGTATGGTAAGAGGAGACAAGGTGTAACGAGTGATTTCTAGTGAAATGCACAGGAACGCGGAAAGAGATAGAGGACAGAAGGTTCGGGGCATCTATTGAGCCGTTAAGGAGAGAGGTGATGAATGATAGATCGGCATCTACACGACGAGATGCAAGAGTAGGTATATTTAAGGAAGTTCTAATTGATAGGTAATCATGGGGTGGGTGATCAATATTGAGTATAAGAGCGGTGTAGGAAAGGAAGTGGTTTTGGACACGTTTTAAACGTAATTGGTCCTTGGCTAGATATGGGTACCATACAACTGAGCCATATTCTAAGACAGAGCGGACAAGGGAAAAATAGAGGGAGCGAAGACAGGTAGAGGACGTGAAAAAGCTAGTGTTGCACTTTAAGAACCCCAGAATTTTTAACGCTCTTCCAACAGTAACATCAATATGTTGTTCAAAAGAAAGAGAAGGAGTTAGATAGAACCCGAGATCTTTTACAGTGGATACAAGTTCAAGAGTGGAGTCATTAAGGGAATAAGGATGGATTATGCAAGTTTGTTTTCTATGAAATGACATAACATGACACTTGTTGAGGTGAGGTTGAGCGTTAGGCCAATACGTTGGCAATTTTATCACATGTTTCAGTTATATTTTTATTTTTTACCTATTAACTAGCATTCGTATAACACAATACATAAATATTTATTTTTTAATTACTTTAATTACTTTAATTAAAGTCTTTATTCACTCTATTCTTGAATGGGTAACTTAATATGATATTCAATAACACTCACTAAAAATCTTTTTTATTGAAAAACAATTATTATACCTGTTTTTTTAATGCTGCTGCTGTATCTTTCCAATTTGCACATACTTGGAGATGTAACTTGATAATTCGGGATGTTTTCATGCTGGATGAACAAAACGGGCATCTATTTTCAACTTCTAGGTTCATCCTTGAAACAATATCATTAAGTTAAATTTAAATACCTAATTATTAGAATTTATTAGTAATGACAATTTAATATAAAAAGTCAAGTAACAATAGTTAAATAATATTATATACTATACTATTGATTGCCAGTGATAAATAAATAATAAAGGTAGTCGCCTACTTGTTGAAGCACATGCTAAGGCATTCACTGTGGAATAAATGTCCGCATGGAGTTGCAAGAACAGTTTCCGGGTATATGCCGGTAAATACGGCATTACATACTCCGCAACAAAACATCTTGCTGTTAAATAATAGATCTTTTACTAAATTAAATTGAAATATTAATAAGATGACTAATGAGCGATACAATAAAAGCTGGTACCCATAGCTGTAACTTGTTACAGAAAATATTTAACTTATAAGTAGAAAGTAATGTAAATTCTGATATCTTAATAATGTTGTGTTATTCTGTAATCCATGCTAAGACGTGCCAACTGCCATAGTGCCATATTGTGGCTTTGTGGTTAGGCCGGCTAAATAGAGCTAATTATTAGTAAATTGGTACCACAAGTGGGTATTTCCATTCCGCCTATTAATAAATAATACTAGAATTTTAGAACGTTGCACCCACTTATCATCGAATATTTTAAATTAATTTAATTTAATTCAAAGTATTAATTGCTACCAAAGTACCACCTGTAATAACGTAAAAATAGAATAAACAAAATATTAAAAATAAAAATAAGAAGAGAATAACCAATCCATAAATATAAATATGACGCCTGCCAATACTTATTGTATTTAAAATTATCTCAATTTACGCTATTACCTTCTTCCTGATCGTCGGAGGGCTCTCGAGGTCGTGTATTCGAGAATTCGATCAAATACACTGTACAATATAAATGTATGTGCATATAATGTAACATAATGCAGTCATTAATAATATGTTTTATATTATAATATGTCTTACCTGACTCTCAGCTGTCTCTGTGTTATGCTGCAGGAGTTTTAGGTGACACAAATTAATTACTCAAAATACTTGAATCAAAATAATAAAACGCACCGATTATTGCTCGTCATAAGGAGTCAAAAGTTGTCGCTCGTAGAATTCGGTATAGAGAGGTTCTTACTCTGTTTGGTGGTGCGCATGCCACTCGTGAGGGGTTGTTGAATTGTACGTGTCGATTTCTTAATCCCTGATCGTATAATGTAATTAGACTATTTTCAATTTTGTCAGTGACAATGATTTATTGGGGTCTGGAGATTTCCGATTTCTACGTTTGACAGTCTGGCCGTTATTTATTACATTTTAAAGAATTGTTATAATGATGTGTGAGCATATCATTACGACATTACACACCTATTCAAGGAAACGGCACAAATATTGTTTAATATTTATTTGCAAATTATTTTACGATAATATAAATAATATTATCTTCATATTTTTACATAACATAAGATTGTCAATTAAAATGTTATATTCTAGCAATCAAATAGACATAGTATTATTTCATTTTATTTGCATTGCTTTTCACCAGTGTTTGGAATATTTACTAAAAAAAATGAATTAATTTACGTTCACGTTCAGTCCTTCAAAAAGGTACTCGTTCACATTCGTGTTTTTTTTCAAATGGACGTTTTCACTTTGACGCTCATTGAAAAAATGAATGCGTTCACTAGGGCGTTCTTTTATTTTTTAAAATTTTTATACAATAGGAATTATAATGAGAAACTATTATTATGTAACATGATTAATCAATGTATTTAATAAATTGCAAATAAATGTAGTCTTAAAAATCGTTCAAATTCATTAAAATATAAACGTCGTTCACCAGAGGCGTAGCCAGGGGTGAGGCTGAGGGGGCTGCCCCCGAAATGTTCATAAAATTTAAAAATTATTTTAATGGTCTATGGTATTCGATCAAACACTAAACCACCGCGGCACCGCTGTGTAAACAATTGATCAGCTCCATCCGAAAAAAAATCCTGGCTACGCCACTGTCGTTCACGTACAAGTGTAATTCTAAAATAAACGTGTGGCGTTCGAGTATCCTTCATTCACTTACTACGAACGAAGTTTACTTGCACTGCTTTTCACCATAGAATGAAATTTATTCGAAAGTATAAGATAAAAAAATTGTAAGAAATTTAGGTACATTTAAATAATTAAATGCAAAGATCAGAATAAATACTTTTGTTAACCCTTTAGCTCGATTAACATTTTCATTATTAAAATACAATCAACTAATTTTTCTAACAATTAGTGACTAACTATAGTTATTCATAAGATATACGTATTTCAGTGGTCGGTAACCTTATTGGACTCGGGATAATTTTTTTTTTTTTAAATTATAACTTATAAGTTATATTATGTCATATGTTTCAATACAACAATATTGCTATTTGATACAACTGTTCAAACAGTTTAGGTTTCCAGTTTTCCGCCTGCCGGGGCATAAAAACTCTCCTCACTGCTGAAAAAACTTGTAAAATTAAATTTAAAAAAAAATGGGAAGGGGAGCACAGGCTCCCGCAGGCAAATACATTTTAAAAATATAAATTAAAAAAATACATATTGTGGGTATACATACACTGAAAGTCTGTAGTCTATAATCTCTATACTTAACCCATAATATTATATACAATAATTAGTTTATTAACCAATGATTATTTCGAGAGAAGATGGACCCTGCTGGTATCAACGCTTAAAAAAAGTATATATACAACATCGACCAGAGTTAAATTTAAATTAAAGAGAAAAAAATGGGAATAGGAGCCTGCGGGCAAATGGATTTTAAGAAGTAAAAAAAACGTTTACATTAGGAACATTTGCTGAAGTACCTCCGATGGGTGGTCTCTAAGACTCTAAGGTCTCTCCCCTCTGTCTTTCTCTGTCTGTTTTGTTCTATTATTTTTTTATCACTTGTTCATTAATTGTAACAGATAGCGTAATGTAAAATTTTGTATTTATACACATTATTATATATAAATAAATAAATAAATAAATATATTGCTATAGTCTATAACGTTAGAATGTTACCCGTGATGGATTTAAATTTAAGATAAAATTAATAATATATACCGTGGAACCGGTAATTTTATTCCGTTATATGAGCACACTTGCTTTTTGATTATAGCAAATAACAATCGGCATTTCCGAACATCAAAGATCGCACTCGCACAGAACACTAGAACAGGCGAATACCGGCTTCAGGCACAGTGCACATCGCAATCTAACTCTGAGCGTTGTCTATGATCCCTTATCCGCCATGATGAATTGAAAAATAATATTTATCATAATACTAAATATTTTGTATGTACCTTGTGGTCTGTTGTATTTTACGTTTAAAAATCATATATATTTAGTCTCGTATTTGTCAATGGTAGTCGGTACGATTTACTGGCGATTTACTAGATGTTAACGTTTGTGTTTTAATATATATTCAAAAGTGAAAACAATTCACCAAACATCATGGGAAAATCTAAAAGTACGTTTTACATTGAAGTGAATCTTGTACAATTAAATAAATAATTGTAAATTTAATATCAGATTGTTTGGTTTTAATATTTAATGTCATTTTTACTTTTAGGGAAGCATTCGAAAAAAAGCAAAAAAGAAAAAACTGTAGAAAGCGGAGGTATTAAGAAATCAAAACAAGTATTGGCAGACTATGATCCTACTGGTCCAGTCATGCTTTCAGGATCATTATATTCTTTTCGTGATCTTAAACCTATGCAGATTCCTGAAAAAGACCTCGTTAGTATTGCACATACCTCATAAAGTCCTAACACTCTAAAGTCATAAGTCCCCATACACAGTCTGTTTAGTTCGATCTTACTTAAAATTAAGTTCATATAAGTAAAATGGACTCTAGAATGCACAAACAGGGCAGTAATTTAAAAACAAACTGTCATGCAAGCTATTGTACTTGCTCAAAAAATGAATATGGTTGATAATTTCATTCTGTGCCTTCAACTGAACAGTCTTTTAGTTTCCTACCATTTACGACATAACTTACATGAATGCTTAGAGTATTTCAAGTGAAATTAATCGTGTATGTGCCTCTTTAACTCAACATTTTTTCTAAATGTAAATAAGTAGGTCTATAATGAAAATGAATTTTGTGCATGCATAGTTTATATATATATATATATATATATATATTGATTATTATTTTATTTGTTCTTAATTGTAAATTATTGTTCATATTTAGCTTGGACGTTGTCGATTTGTTGCTGAGTTTGAGAAATTGAATCGTATTGGTGAAGGAACATATGGCGTTGTATGTAAGTTGAATTTATTATTTGATCAATATGATAATTTTTTTAGTTTTTGATTTGGTTGTTGAACACTAATAATAATAATAAGTAGACTTTTCATTGTATTTTGTTAGTCAATTACTTTATTTTTTTAAAAATGTTTCATAAGATCGTGCAAAAGATTCTAAATCGCCTGTGGAAAAAATAGTTGCATTGAAAAAAGTTCGTATGGAAAATGAAAAGGAAGGATTACCAATGAGCGCACTTCGTGAGATATCACTATTATTGAAATGTGATCATGAGAATATTGTTCGCCTACAAGAAGTTGTAGTGGGCAGGAGTTTAGATAGGTAAATATTTAAGTAAACATGGTTAGTCATATTACACATACTGTACTTTTAAATAAAAGTCATGTCTTTGTACTATAAAAACTATTTGAGGCAGTGCAAAACATTATCATGAGCAAGATACTTAAATATTCAAAAATGGTTTAACAACTATTAAAATGTTTTACATGAACAATACATTATATTATATCTATGAAAATTGTTATTATAATTAAAACTAGATGGTTATAATAATATACGATTACATTTTATAGGTAATTTTATTGAGTTCAATAATAATAAATACAATTAAGTCTAATCGCTTATGCAATATTAAAAATTATTTACTATTTTTTTGAACGTCGCCTTACCTAGGGACTTCTTATCAGAGCAAAAAAACTTGCCCTAAACGAATGACTTTGCTCAATCAAAACACTAATACCTAACAAACACACCAAACTTTTTATACACAAATTAGTGATGGGAATTATTTGAATATTCGAATAATTTTACTGTAAATAATTCAGATATCAGTATTCGAATACTATAATACTATAACTTTTTTTAGTCCTTTTTCCATTATATATCTTATACATTTATTCAATTCTTTAACAAATTTTTGCTCCTGTCAGCCATGTATTCCTTTTCCTTTACCCTTTTAATAGATTAGGTTAGCTATTAGATATACATAGGTATAATATTTAAATAATTGTTTTAAAAACAAAGTTTTGATGGTTTTGTACAATAATATATAATAATAATACATACTATAATATTAGGTATAACAGAAAAATAAATATACAATTATCAGTAATAGTTTAACACAATAATTTGTTCAATAATAATTAATAAATACTTGTACGTTAAATGTCATTGAATATAATAATATTATTATTTATATTGATTAATATTGATTTTGTAGTATTGGATACTGATAATTGAATTATTCGAATTATCCCAGTAGGTATTTGAATATTCAAATTATTTACCGTTACATTATTCAAATTTGAATATTCTAATATTCTAATGTACATTACACCCCTAATACAAATCATTAATCAAGCTCATGTGAACTTATGGTTTACCAATGCATAAAAAAACAATGTAAATCAAATCCAAACTGTTCAAAATAAAATTTTAAGATTAATTACTAACACCCCACCATATGTCTCCAACTACACTCTGCACACAGATTTAAATATTAAAACAGTACACGCTGAAGCAGTAACATTTTACAAAAGATTCCATAACAGACTTTCATATCATCCTAATTCCCTAATATCCATTTTAGCTTTTCACATAACTCCAGGCAATCCCTCATGACGACTGAAAAGAAGTTCATGTTGAGATTTCCGAAATGAACTTATTCCCATTAGCATATTTATATATATGCACAGGCTTCTTCCCTCATGTTTTCATGTACAAAATATCATATCACATATTCTTATTGTGTCTAAGGGTACGGGTTATATATTTCTTGTTAAAATAAAAAAAAATGAACAATTTTTTTTAGCGTACGCTATATCAAGAGTATAACAGAAAGACCAGACAAATTAAATCACTTTATAATCAATATTTCTTATGTCAATCTGGTTTTTGAATACATTTTGATTTTTTAAAGTCTTGTAGCATATTTCTATACATTTTTTTAAACCTCATTATTTTTGTTAAGTAAAGTTGATTCAATTGTAAAAACATTTTGAATTTAAGAAGTATAAGCTTTTTTTAAATATTTTATGAGAATTTTTTGAATAGGTACTCTTATTTTTTATAACTGGATCAACTTAACTTCATAAAAAAAATGTAAAAAATAAGCTACAAGACTTAAAATTCTGTTTTTACGATCAAAATTTATCCAAAAACCAATTTATAAATTTGCTTTTTTGAATTTTTAAAAAAATACATCGGAATTAAAGTTTTTTATATTCAGTATTAAAAAATGTAAGTACAATTTGTTATAATAATATATGTACAGCACAAGCTTGTGCACAAGTACATATATGAAACAAATTTAAAAAATACTGATTTGGTAGAACAAAAGTAATTTAATTTGTCAAGTTTTCTGTTATACTCTGTATTCTGAAATGGAATAATCTTACTGAGAATCTCAAGAATTTTATGTTTATCAATTTGTAAAATGTTTGGTCTTAATCTCATATATAGTATTCTAATATTTTGATTTCAATTATAATATGTTTAATACATTTTTTTTTTCAGTATATTTTTGTCTATGGAGTATTGCGAACACGATTTATCCAGTTTATTAGATAACATGGCTACTGCTTTTACTGAGTCTCAAGTAAAATGTATATTTTTACAGCTCTTGAAAGGACTTAAGTATTTGCATTCCAATTTCATTATTCATCGTGATCTCAAGGTATCTAATTTATTGATTACAGAAAAAGGATGTGTAAAAATAGGTAAATATATTAACTCAACATCATGTATATATTCAGGTATAGGAATTAATATTTTTTGTTTTTGTTTATAGCTGATTTTGGATTGGCTCGTTTTTTTGGTGTGCCACCAAAGAAAATGACAGCTAAAGTGGTAACACTCTGGTACAGAGCTCCTGAAGTCTTATTAGGATCTCCTAAGTTGACAACAGCTATTGATATGTGGGCTACGGGATGCATTTTTGCTGAACTTTTACGTACACTATTTATTCTATTGTTATTGTTATTATTACACAATTTAAAGCCATTTAATTGTCTAATATTTTAGTTCATAAGCCGTTATTGCCTGGTCGTACTGAGATACATCAACTGGATTTGATATGTCAACTTCTTGGCACTCCCAATGCTTCAATATGGCCTGAAATTGACACATTACCAGCACTGAAAAACTTTACATTGAGACCACAACCATACAATAATATTAGACCGAAGTATTTAACATTTCAAAACATACCTACTTAAAAATTCATTTTTTTAATTTGTAAACATTCTCAAGAAAATATCAATTTTTTATTTAGATTTCCGTGGTTATCAGACGCTGGAATTCGTCTTTTGAATTTTTTGTTTATGTATGAACCGAGCAGAAGAGCAACAGCTGAAGAATGTCTACAAAGCTCTTACTTTGTTGAACCCCCATTGCGTAATTATTTTACATTATTGTTTATGTTATTATATGTTTTTAACTGCATAACATTACATATTTTTTCTTTATTTACCACTTCTTAAATATTATTTAACATACAATTTTCATTTTTAGCATGTGATCCCAAATTGATGCCTACGTTTCCGCAACATCGTAATTTAAAACTCAAAAAACCATCAAATCAACCAAAAGTTTGTCAAACTATTCCTCCAGTTGTACCATCCTTAACGGACTTATTAAGGTGACTACTATCATATAGAATTGATCATGACTGTAATTTGTATTATTAAAAATAATAAAAATGTTTTTTTCTGTTTCAGCTGGAAGTAGAGGAAGAAAGAACATTTTTTTTGTAACTTAAAATAATTTTAATTCTTGATATACAATTTTTATTTAAAAAATCATTATAAAACAATTTTATATTGTATACTCTTATACTAAAAGACATGAACCTAGTTTGCTTTTCAAAACAATAAACATAATTACATCAGATTATAAATATTCTCTGTCTACAAGTTTTTGATGAGCAAAGTTTCTTTTCCATTTTTTGGGTGGCACCCAACGGTGTTTAGTGGTGTATGTCATTTTCATAAGTTCTTGTTGCACTATTTCATTATTGGGCTTACTGAATACTTCGTGCACAAAGTCTTTGTTTTGAACTCTTAACACAGAGTTGTCCTGTACCTTGTTAACTGGTAGCGGTTTGGTGCACTCATACGGGAATGAACTCTCTGGATGGTAACACACTATGGTAGACGCGTCATCAGTGACAACGATAGCACTTTCATTCTTGCTGGAACGCGAGACGCCGCTGGCTAACCGTCTAAATAATCGTAAACCATTCATGTCTTGGCGAAATGGTAGGAACTCTTGAAATTCCAACTGGGTATCCCGAAATGATAACTCAGCAATTCGCACAGTAGAACAATTAAACGATTACCAAAAAAATTAATGCTGATGCTGAGTAGCTTGAATATAAAATAACCAAATGTTAATGCAAAATATAATATGCAATTATGAAGAAAACGTTATCGATAACAAAATTGTATCACGATTTACCAAAATACATTACCAAGTTACCTGTTAACCTAAAAAAAAAAATTTCGATAAAATTTAGTATTATCTTGAGCGGCTGATAATTTTTGCTCTACGAATTATGAATTACGAATTACGATTGATACTCGTTAGAAAAACCTAAAGACAGAGATTCTTGACAAATTTGATCGCAATGGTAATATTTTCGTTTTCGCCGATCGATAGTCATATTCGCCGCCACCAGACCGTTTTCTTTTCCATGGTCGCGCTGCCACCTGCCCCCGCACACTGTTTTTCAACGGAGTTGTTGTCGTTTTCACGGCGCGCATTCGTCCCGCGTCCTTCCCTCCCGGTGCCACTGTCCGACCAACGTTAATACTTGATAATGTGACGTGCGGATTTTTAAAATTTAAAATTTTCCTCTCGTTTTTTCGTCGTCACGTTCGATTCTTCGCCGTGTTCGTTGTTTTCCGAACGCAATCGCCTCAAGATGCAGAGAAGTGGTGAGTAAAGTGTCCGCGAATCGACGGCGTCCGGCGATCCGTTGTTTTTCGCGCACGAAAACGGCGCGACGTCCTCGCGAAACGGTCGTCGTCATCGCCGCCGCCGAGAGCGAATCGCTGCGATGTCGGCTGCGTTTCGGTGGACGGTGTTCAGTGTACACTGTATTGTCAGTGATTACGCGTTTTGCGCGCCACACTGCCTCAGTAGAACACGTCTGTGTCGTCCGTCCGTTTTCGTCGCGCGGAACCCGGATTCCCCGTCGCGTATTATTGTTTGTTTCCCGTAATTGCAATTGTTGTAGTGGTCGCTGCAGCTGTTGCGGTGGTTGTTGTTTTAGTTGTTCATGTTGTTAACTTTCAAATTACCCATAAACCATTTTTGTTGATTTTTATTTGTGTACTTATTTTGTATTTTTGTTATTTGTTTTTTGTTTTGTTTTTTTTTATTTTTTTGGTCCGATCGTGTTGTGCATTGGCTTCTGAAATTATCGCCGAAATATTCGTGCAGCTGTAAGTACAGTCATCAATTTATTATAACTTTAAACTATCTTTACAACCGGGATCTCTCTCACTTATGCGTCATACTCGTAGAGTTTAAAATATAATTCCTGTTTGGGTGAGCGTTATCTATTTGTTACTTTAGCATCACTTTATAATCTTTTGGTAGTGTTCTGTCCCTGTATGTTCCAAAATGAAAACCCATAACTGTTAGCTAACTAGATTTGATTTTGAGTGATCTAGGTAGGTACAAAAATGATAACTAGATGTGCTTGAAAAAGAATACATGTTAAATTATTATTACTGCGTATATCTATTTATGCAAATATAAATATAAATCAATATTGTATATGTAACAGTGATGTATTTACTATATACCTACGGAGACAGATAATGCAGACAGTCCAATTCCATAGCCCCTTCTCTTTTTTAAGACTAATCATTTTATTTTATCATTGTAATGGTTTTTCAATATTATTTCATTGTATTTGAATACTCCACTGAAATGTACCATTCAGTTTAAACAATGATATTATTTACAATGTCATTATATAGGAATTGTAGGTATCTTAAAAATGTAAGGTAACTAATCAAATTTGTATTTATAAATAAATTAAAAATGAATTGATAGTATTTATCTGTATAATATTTTTATTTGTCATTATTTAATATATTATATGATTAATTAGAATTAAGTAAACATCTGTTTATCATAATTACCTACCACAATCTTAATTCATATTTATCATGCATAGTAGTATAGACCGTATTAATGTATTATGTACCTAAATATATACATATCTATATTAATAAATTAAATAAATATAAATCTATAATTCATTATTTTATTATCATTAACATAATATTATTATCTACCTGTATTAATATTTAATATTACCTATATAATATATAGTCTGTTAATTATATATTTAATGACTTAAAAATAATTGTAGTAAATTCTTTAAATTCATGCAAGTTTTACCTACAATGCTTAATGTTAATTCATATTACATGTGTTTTACATTAATGAAGTTGAATACACATTTGGTACCTATATTTATTATAGTTAATTAATTTTCAATATACATATTATAATAACTTCTTTTTTAAAATTATTACTAGCTTTCAATCAAAAGGTTTTATAATTACTTATTAATCTATACTTTTGTCTGTTTGACTTGAATATTTAGTTTAATTTATTGTTACCAAAGTTAAGATAACTAAGTACATATAAGGTATAATAAATCACAGTTGAAAGCAGTTCACACTAATGAATATTTAAAAAATGCCTATAGGTGAGAGTTGATATTAACATCTAAATCATTACCTATATTTTTTTAATTAGTTGAAGAATTGTGTCCATTCACTTACCTAGTCATGCTCAATTAACTTTTTATTTGATGTAGCCACCTATCAGTTGTCACTGTTAATTTATTCATGACATTTAATTGAAAAATTAATTTAATGTTTTTGTGTGTATCTATGTGGTTTGTTAGGTAGAGTATAGTTTTGGTTACTTAATAGTATTACATTGTTTTAGTTAAATGAAGCATGCAAATGGTTTATTTAATGATTATACACTATTCAGTATTATTTTTAAAATATGACTAGTTATATTTTGCAATTTTGTGTAAAAGTTAAAGAAAAATTTAAAAAATAGTTTGAATATTGATGAAAATAATTTATAAAATATTTTGATTGAAAGTTTTGTTGTAAGTATACCTAATTAGCTTAGCTCTTTGAAGTATTATTAAAAACATATGATATACAGAGATGTGTAGCTGTGTAGGTATAAGCATTTTTAAAGTGGTATTGAAATTGAAGTGGATGATTCACCGAATGAATGTTTAACATTAAATAAATTATCTTTTCCTATTTATGACTTATGTTTATGTGATCAATTAGGTATTACAATTTTACATCCTTTAGTTGTTATTTCATGATGTTAACTGTAACTATTATAGTTAATTATAATATTATTGACTCGATTATCACTTATCACTACTATAATTAAATCTAAATTGTCAGACTTTTTTTTATCTAAAGCATTAAATATTAATTGTAGACATAAACAATTTATTTATTGTCATTTGAAATGATTGGAAAGTTGTTAATATGAGTCATGTTATTATAAATCATGAGAAGAGTTCCACCACAGAATATAAAATGAATGGTTCTGTAGTCTGAACAAAATCTAGTTTCCTTTGGGGAACGACTCGTCTGTACCTCTGCTAACTGGTTTATTTTTATTTAGATCGGAAGTGAGTTCATTTTGATTTACTTGTTGTAATTCCAGTTGTTCCCTGAGTTGTATGACTGTATATAGTTAGTAGTTACACTACATAGTATTTTAGATAATCAAAATAAAATAAGTCATACATCTATTGTTGACTAATAGTTGTATTATGTTTAATTTGTAACATCACTAGTGTTGTGCTCACATGGGGAGGGGATGAGGGTGTTATATCCCCCCATTTGGCTTATTTTTGTCATATAAAACATAATAATAAAGCAATGAATGTATATATAACTTGGTCTGAGAATAATACATCTTAAAATTTATATCACTCCCTTTCAAAAGACCTGAGTACTCTACTAAACATCATAGGTAAGAGGGTAAATGGACAATTTCTCCTCCCATTAAAAAAAAAAATACTCGAATGTGAAGTCTTAAGACAAAAAAGAACAATTTTAATATAAAAATTCACTCATATCCCCCCTTTGCTCATGTTCTAAGACTGTATTATAATGTTTTTTTAATAGTCTAAGCAAATGATTTGAGGTTTTCACTCAATTTTAGATTTTAATGGAACCTACCTAATACAGTGCTATAATCGCAATGAGTTTTTGTAGTTTATTGTGATTATTTAATTATTATAATATTTGTTTTGAACATCTTTTTACTATTTTAATAGTACTTTTTATTGTTTTAAATAGTCAATGATCAAAACTATACATCTATGGTTTATGGGAATATTTCGAAGTTTTTTTTATGACAAATTTAGACATAAAACAAAAAAGAATAATATAAATTTGTATTGCACAATAGCCGTCTATGAATCGAATACTTAAATAATACCTTGGAATCAGTATGTTAAACTTATGAGTTATGGAAGACCCTAGTTAAACCAATTCTGTGTAAACACATTATCAGTCCCCCCCCCACCTTCAAATAAAAATCCAGCCTACGCCGCTGATATGAATCGTAATGACGTAATTGAGGTATTGATATTATGAATCTGATGAAGTGATGACTATTAATATTTATCACTTTATTTTCGTTTTAAATAAATAAAAATTTGGATTAATTTAAAACAATCTGATATTTACTTATCTATTAGGTATTTATTTTTTGTGGTCGATTTAATATTAACAATATTAATTCGATAATAACTGAGTGACTGGTGCAAGACAAATTATTATGATATTACTTTTTTTAACTCGCTTATTTATAGTTTAGACATCCCTATATCCCAACTTATTCCTCGGTGGTGACTGGGGGGTAGGAACTCAATTTAATATATTATTCATATATTTTAAAGAACTTTCATAGAGGCGGTGGAATTGCAGATATTCATCTACGAGGAGTCTATGAATAATATAATGGGTGAGTGGGTGACTAATGTGAGTCTTATCTTGGCTATGGCGTGTGTCAGAAAATAATATTCCTGTCACCGGGGTTGCCCTACACTATAGCCACTGTATCCTGTGAACAATCAATAAATAGTTATATTATATCAATAATAATTATGTTTCATCCTTCGCGAAAATACGCATTCCCCCGGCGATGCGAAAACAGTTTGGTCAAAATCGGACGATGCCATAATAAGAAACATAATACATATTCCCAAGGCTGACCGACGGGAAATACCGCGGTTATCCGAGTACTAAATGGTCGGCCACCGTGTAGGCGTGGTATAAACCTGACCAAACCGACAACGGTAAGCTTGGTCGAAATGACCATCGTCGTCCAGCGGGTAACCGAGTCATGGCATTTTTGTTGGTCAGTCGTCTTCTTATTGCGTCCGGCGCGTCACTGTCCTATTCTTGGACTATTCGTTTTTGCTCCGAAGTTCGAAAGTATTTAATTTTTTTACATTCAAGTGATTAGTGTAGTGTGGTGCGTATTATTGAGTCGTTTTCTACCAGTCCGACCATTTGCTTACAGGTGGCCCCGACAAAGTAAGAAGACGCTCATATTTATTTGCAATCAGCGCCGGATAGGCAAGGTATCGGCCCACCGAGTTTTACGATTTTAACCGGCCCTAAAAGAGTTAACGGCCCATTTTTCAATAAGATAAAGTCATTAATAGGTATCCATATTTTAACAATAACATCATATATCATACAATATAAATTATACATATTATATTAAGCAGTAATGTTGACATAGATTAATAATAAATATAACAACTAAGCCGGCCCACCGAGTTCAACTCGGTAACTCGCCGGCTCTACCCGGGCCTGTTTACAATTCATTCATAAGTCTTATGTTTAGCTTTGTAGCATACTTTAATAAATTATTTGCTGAAATAAGATGAAATATAGACATAAAAATCCATATACATTTAAAATATACCTATAGATAATCTATATACATTTTACAACATTGGTACTGGACAAGTTAAATCTATTGAATTAATCGAGTTGAAAATTATGCTTATGTTTTTATGTAACATTTGATAATGATGAACTACAAAAACAACTTAAAATTATATTTATGTGTATGTTTGTAAGTATTTTTATACTCAAATTAATCTAGTAGCCAATAGTAGGAGGAGGAACTTAGTTATTTTTGTTTATAGATTATTTTTTTTCCAATAATACGGGTTGTTGCCTAAAGTTATACACATTACATTAGAAAGTATATAAGTAACAATAGTTCAACAGTTTCATTATAACTATAAAAAAAATATACCTCAATACATAATGTAATAATACCTACATTATTAACTTGAATATAAAAATTTTAATTTGAACCTTGTCTTATTATATTTATTTAAATAGAAATCAACCTTCACAATTTGTAAATAGTAGAAACTATTGTAAATAAGTGAACACAAATCACTACAATTAATGTTATAATTGAACATAAATGGATTACGCATAGACGTATAGTGTTTGCTAAACATAAAGACATATTAAATGAAAATTACATCTGTATAATTATTATAATAACCTTAAATTAGTCATTGCATAATTAATCTAATCATTGTATTTTGTAGTTAAAATAATATGTACTATAATATTTACCCTCGCAGTCTCGAACTTCTACAATTTATTGAGTTGGGAGTGAAGGAGGAGCGAGATAAGTGTTAAGAAACTTCACACTTCTAACCACATGGAAGTTTAGCTGTTGTTAATAATTCTAACGCTCATTGTTTTATAATATAATATTGTCATTGGGTTTACACTTATTAGGGCGTGGATTTAAATGCTTTAAACAACAAGAGAAATTCATTAAAAATAGATGATTTAACGTACCTATATATATATACATATGATATAATTTTTTTGCTTTTTAGGGAATTATAGTTGTAAAATATAATTTTCATTTTTAAGTTCATTAATGTTTAAATTAAACGTTGTGTTTGGAAAGAAATTTTTTAGGGCATTCAGAAAAAAAATGCAATTTGTATTTAAGTCCGCGTTTTACTTTGACTATATTATAGGTATTATAAAATCAATGATTTTGGCATTTATGTTTTTAAAATTTTAATTGTGGATTATATTATACGTATATGACGTTATTCGAATTATTGTGATTTTAAGAATGTGTTTTTCCTGTTATCGTATTAACTTATTTAAAAACAATATTTTTAGACTAATGCTTATAGGCACATATTTCTGTAAATTTGTGTAAAATGTTATGGTGATTTTCCTTTTTAAGTGAAAAATTTACTAGTAATTTGTTACTGTTGATTAAATATTACGTCTACTTGGATTGCTAAATATTTAATATATAAATGTATGATAAAAAAAAATTGTGTGGAACACACATTCTTTCAAACATCAAAGTTGAATTCAGTAATAATTTAAATTATTATAGTATATTATACGAAAAAATTAACGATGTGTTGAAGTACCAACAGGCAACAATATTAAAATTGTTGAACGGCAATTTATACGGTGTAGAATTGTAGTTTTTTAAGGTAGAGCCTACGGGACGATGGAATTAATAAATATTTCGTTTTTATTATTCATAGACCGTGTTAAGTAAGCGGTTAATTGCTTCGGGGGTTAAACAAATAAACTGATAAAGTCAAAGAATAAATTGTATAAAAATACTTTCTTGCATTCTTAAACCAATCATTTGCTTCATTTTAAATATGTCATCTGTATTATTCCTTAAAGTATTGGCGATTTTTGTAGAATATTCATAGTTAAAGATTTTATAATTTATAATTATATATATTATAATTTATATTTGATCAAATCGTCATTTTCATCAATACTAATATATATTTACAAACATATTAAAATAATATCCTCTCTGGTTTGAGACATGCATTCTATATTTTTATGTATATCGTATCTACATGTTGACATACATGGCTCGTAGGTTCTTGTTACAACTTGTAGCTAGTACAAATTATTGACACATAGGAATTTCTTTATTAGATCGATCGAAGCCGTACATTTCTCAGTCATCGTGTACTTTTTATTTTTTACCCGTATCATCTCTTACGACTTACAAACACGGTACTTTCTTCACAGCTAAGAATCCGTTGTCCAAGTGGTGTTGATTTATCGTTGTTGTTTCCATTGGATTGCATTTCGTTAAGTGTAAAATACCATCGTTTCCTTTCCACAACCGAGTACGATTTTCCTAATTGGCAGTTCCATTCAAATGTCTTGTATAATAGTAATTTTTGTTCATAGCAACATAATTTTTTTCGATGATTATTGAGCGTGTGCTTATGTTTTATAGAGTCTTAAGTTTTTAATGTTTCTTATTTAGATTCTGAGTGTACTGTGAAATGTTTAATTAATTTAATTAGCAATGATTTTTTTAAACATTTTTTTAGAATAAAGAAGTGCTCCAAAAGTTTCATATAGCAACTTTTTAGAACAGAAAGAACTCCTAATGTTGGTCCTTTGGACAGGTAATTTTTTGATTTTTACAGTGGAGTTATATCCTTAGAGTTAAATTTTGCGAATTATAATCCTATGGAATTATTTCTCGGTTTCTCGATGAATGACTTAACATTTATATAAAAGTAGGTAGGTACATTTATTACATATAAGAATAATACAAATATTTTGAATACTGGCATACAGAGTTTTTACCATATTTAGGTTATACAAACAATAGCTGGGTAATAAGTATGGTTGAAAATGTTAAGTTTTTATTTTATAAAATCTGCAATTTTTATTCCCAAACAATAATTTGAATAATAGTACTACATATTATAGCAAACTTAAATGAACAAAATTAACTCATACCGAGTTTTCAACTGCATACTATACATAATAAATTATTATAATCTGGAAAAAACTGTGTGGGAAGTTGAAACCCGTCGAATTTTTTTATCACTTGCTACTCAAAACCCTGAAAACGCGATGGTTTACCGGCTGTATGATTATTAATTTCTGCAATATATTTATTCTTTATAGTTTATACTATAGGTAGTCGGCGTAGTCGAGTTAAAGTGTATATAATATATATCAATTTATAAACATCCCGAACGTGATGTTCGAACGGATACACTATTTGTGTTTTTTTTTGCGATATAATAATGTAGTCATCGCTCATTGTCAATATACTAACGTAATAATTATTGTCGGGAAAAAATATGACGTGCGCTATATCCACGAAGACGTCGCACCGCGCCTACCGTGTGGCAACACTGTGCCGTCGACGGGGCATCTGGCGCGCGCCGGCTATAAAATCCCGCCGTCCCCGAGCGCGCGCGCGCGCGCGACCGTGATCGCCGTCGCCGATTTCTCACCACCGGGCGGCGGGCACCGAGCGATCCGCGGCCGGCGCAGTAAAGAGTTCGCGTTCGCGCTGCGCACACGTTCGACGACGCACCGCCGGCACGACGTTAACGAAACCGACTACCGACACCGACACATTCGGCGGGACTTCTACCCCCGTGTTGTGGGTGGCGCGTTTCCAGTACGGTGTGCCGAGTGTTGCGTGCTACTCCTGTTTCGCGCTACTCGTGTTTCGCGCTCGTCAGTCGTTCGCAGGGCTGCAAGTGTTCTCGTTTGAAAAAAATTAATTTATCGTCGTCGTCGTCGCTGCCTCACGTGGGGCAATACTAATAATATGATTAACGGCGAAAGCGGCGGCGACGGCGTCAACGGCGGCGGAGTAGCCAAACCGACGCCCCCGCCGACGCTTCCCAAGTCGTACACGCCGAGCGCGGCTGCCGCGTACCGTTTGGCCAGCATGGAACGCCTGGCCCAACGTCAGCGGATTTTCGAACAGGGTGGACCTCCGCCGCCTTCGTCCACCGCCACCGCGGCCACTACCGTCACCACCACCGCGGCAGCGTCTGACGATCACCAGCACCACCAGTCGTCGCCGGCCGGGCCGCCACCACCCGTCACCGCACCCAAACCCGTGCTCGGCACCAAGGCAAGCGTTTTCTTGTTGTAGGTCTTTCCCGGGCGGGCGCCCCACCGCATATTTTGTTGCGCGGGGTTAGGTTTGAGGTATAATAGTCTTTGAGTGGGGGGTGGGTGTTGTTTTTCCGATCCGTAGAGATTACTCGGGGCGCACCCTCCCCCCCGAACTATCAATTTTTAAAGGTCACACCCTTGCCCAAGGTGTGTCACGTACTCGCGTGCAATTCGTCGACACATCGTGATCACATAATATGGAATATAGATTATTATGTTGTCGTTGAAACCGTTTGGAAAAAATGCTGTTATTCTTTTATTCCTATCGATTGACAAATAACAATTATCGTTGTTTTACACCTCAGGCCTCGAGTGCTGCGTATGTATACCACCAAGGTGGACACATAATATCATGTATATAAATCAACCTTGATACGAGTTGGTCAATGGAGGTGGTCGCTTTATAATATATTATTTTTTAAACGTCTCGTTATCGAATTCTTTCGCTGACGACCGCATGTATTGTCGCTAAATTAATTAACCAACCTAATCGACGTCCGCGGTGATAATATTCCGACCGACGGATGCAATAGCGTAGTGTTATTGTGCACACGTGTAAACCTCTCGTTTGGTTATATGTATTATTATGTTCATAACAATCAATATGCGTTCGCTAGGTAGGTACTTCAACAATAATTATCGTGTTTTCGCGCTGGTCGAAATGAAACAACAAAATGTGCAGGAAATCGACGTAGATAAGACACACTCGAGATGCGGAGGCCGTGAACTCTGGAGTGATTATTCGAACAGAATTTAATACATATTGTACTCGTACGAACGGTTGTATTATCTTATATTTTTCTCTGCCGCTCCGCGCGAGTATATTCTTCCCCTTTTTAGCAACGAAAAAAAGAGCTACACACGCCCGGTGTAGCACTAGGACTACACACTCGCGTGTATAAATATAATAATACGTGCACCTACCTATATATTTTTTTTAAATTCCAGATGGAATGATAATTATAATCCGTGAGAAACCCGTCAGTTTTTTTCATTAATTTTATTAATGTTCACTCTACCCTTTTCGTTATCCGTTGGTTGATGTGACGGCGATGACGATATTGTTACAACTATTATAAATTATAGTATCGTGTCGTCGGTGTAACCTAGTTGCATTGTAGTTTGTCTCTTTTTTGGCGTTAAGTTTATTGTAAAAATATCATTGTCGTGCCCAACATATCAGTATAATATCACACTCGTCATTTGTCGGATACTTTGCACAGTGTTTGTTCGTGCCATATGTGACTATGTGAGTGTGTGTTATACATTTAAATCCACTTTCAGTTGTTCCGTCATTAATCATTATAATATAGACGCTTTCCAATAATCACTCTATTACGAGTATTTGTGCACCACCTGTATGTTGACAAGTGTTGACGCTTAATTTCGTAGCGTTTCGGCTGCTCCACTTTTTCAAACCAGCGTTTGCATATTCAAATTGTATAATCCCCTTCGAGGATCCTGCTTGACTAAAATTTAGAAGATATTCGGTCTAAAGCTCTGCTGGCCTTTACATACAAATTATTGACAAACTTATAAATTATTGTAACTATTGATTTAATATCCTCGGCTGAGACTCACGTTCGAGCCCAGTGATCTACTCAACAGATCCGATTGCATTGTTTACGGGCACGTAAAGAAATTTCCATCATCGTCAAAAAATACTTAACTCACACACGTGTCGCATATCTATTGTGTGATTATTATTATATTATGTTATTTGTATTATCATATTCTTATTATAATAATATGTAGAGCCACGTGAAACCCCGGTCACTCAACTCTCCGTATATAGTTGATTATTCGTTCCTTGCAGCGGCCGATCTGCCCTGTATAGTGTACAATTTTTTATTATTATTATTTACTCCGATACCAACGGCATGTCATATGCCTTGTTTGTGTTCAGCTGCGAGGTTCCACTGTTATTGTCCTTTGATGTAAATTTTATTACACCGACCGACGAGGAGACGCTGCCGCGACCTTTCTGAACGGTATCCGCTGAAACTTTCACATCTATACTTGACAACGAGGTCTTCACATTTCGAATAATATATTTTACACCATACATACAGTAGCACAATAATACAACTATAGCAAACTGGTTTATTTGAGTCACACGTGTTTTTGCCAGAAAGCAATTTATCGATTCATCGTTATTTTTTTTTATATTGTGAGTTTTTATGGAAGAAGTTATGTAGTCATTATGACACACTCATCACGTATGTTTAGTTAATGGACGATTACTTTTCAATTAAAGGTTTGATTTTTAGTCCATTCTATTCTTTGGTGCAGAACAATCGCAGTCCCCAGTCATTTAATATCCCTGTACATATTACGATTTTGAATTCTTATAACAACCGTGTCAATTAACTGCGTGTTAAAGGTTAGAAACATTAAGTTTCACGTTTAAAAGTATAAACAATTTAAATGAATATGTTTTTTAGTAAAACTATTTATTAGTCGGGTTTTATTTTTAAACTGACCCCATTATAAACTAAAAACGAATTCTATGACATTTATTAAAAGTTAAGATTTATTGATTTTAAAAGTAAACATTTAAACGTTCGAAATAACGAATTCGCAAAGACTGTTTACCACCCGTAAATATACACCATACAGTGACTGTTAAAACTAAAACCAGTTTTATTTTCCAAATTACAAACAACGGTTGGCTTATAGTTACATTTTAGTAACAGTCTAAGGTATAGTTACATCCAGAGGACTGATACATTTTATAATAATTGAATACAAAATCAATATGCGGTACCTTATAGGTAGTTCTTTTAATTCTTCTTTTAACCGTGAGTTTAACTTTTATAATATATCTGCGCAGATTGATGTTTCGATAACATCCCTAAAAAGATCACCATATTATATGAAAAAAATGACTGGCTTGATAAAATGGCTGACAAGTATAAGTGACTGGCCTGACCTGTAGTTTCGCCTATGATAATTTTAGTTTGTGATCTTGACGAAAGAGCAAAATTTAATAAATAATCGCAACTATTAAAAAATATTATTATTTTAATTGATCGTGTTATTCATAGCCAACTGAACATGATTGATTCTTGTTGTCATTGATAAAACGTGTTGTCCAATTTATTGGCTAATTAGATAAATTTAAGGATTTTATATTTTTTAATCGAATCTAACGTCCAACATTTATTACTTGTGGTAATGTTGGTATAAGAATAATATCTACTGTTTTTTGCTAATATAAAAACTTGAGATGTATGGAATAATTACAAATGTGTGAAGTATCTAACTTTAAATTAGATACATAGATTAAAGTTATCAAGGGGGTATGTACCTATTTAATGTATTATAATATGCACCCTTTGTCGTTAAATGTATATTTTTATAATAATCGTAAAAAATAGTATGCCACGTACACAGTACGCACATCTAATATACAAATAATACTATAATATTTTGGACCATTCTAAAACATTTTAAGAGGTATATAAGTACACAATACACATTGGTTCCAATAATTTGTTGAACAACTTGCCTTTTTTACTTTAATATTAAACGAGATGATGAGTCATACACTATTACAAGGTATATTGTCAATGGTATTTAAATGTTACCATAGAGGGCATATGTGACTTGAAATCGTACAACTGCAGTGGTGTTTATCAATGGGCGTCGCTGTTGGGGCATTAAAATGCTTGAATTACTAGCATTACAAATTTTGTAATAACTACTTATTCGGACTCTTGAGCAATATTGAGACTGATTTGAGAGCATACATTTTATAACGTTCTTGAAGTTTTATGAGTTCCAATATCTAGCTATATTTTTGTCTTTCTAATCTTAAATTCAATCCATATATGTATATAAATTATAAATATGGGTAGGTATGTAGTTGGCAGTTATTTTATGATCATTTAAATCAATAACCCGCTGCATAACAAAACACATGTAATAGACTGACTCAAAATTAAAACATTTAAAACTCAATAATTCAACGACTACGTGCATTATTTTTATCACTAAAACGAGTGTTTCAAGGTTGTTTTTAATGATAATTTTTACTTATTCCACTAAAAGTACTTAAAAGAACATTTTGAGTATTTCCATAATTCTATTTTATTTTTTTTCTGGACTTGTTTCAAAGATACCTTTTTTATATTAGGTACTTTTTTGCGTTTCAGGGGTTAAATACATATTTTGTACATATAACTACATATGTGTTTCTCTCATATTTTTTAATTAACTAACAGCGGTTTTAATTATTCTTAAACAATAATATTAACATCGGCCGTTGCTTACAACTGAAGATTGCATTATTTTTTTCACCATAATAGTGCAAGCCTAATGTAAACCCTGTTTGTGTTTTTTATTATACTACTAAAACTCTTACATTTTTGACTTGTTCTATAACTTTGTGAAAATTATAAATAAATTAAATGAGATCATTAATTTTGGCTTACTATTGTGCGTTTGTATAACATTAAACGTGTGTTACTATCTTATCAATGATTTTATTTTGTAGAAAATTCGCTTATCGTGTTGCACTTATAAGAGAGATAGAAAAAGCATGAATATCAAACACATATTTTAATATCATGTACGTGACGTATACATTCTAAAGAAATCCATGTGTATATGGTCTGTCAGATTCAATTTGTGTCCAAGTTTGGTTACTTACCGTATATTAGTAAATATTAGTGTTTGCAAATTGTTTTATGAATACTAGCTATTTTGTTGTAAGATAGGTATTATTCTATTATTGGCTATATTTTTTTTATTGCCAGATAATTTATTTGTTATTCAGATTCCTATGTGTGCATTTGTTTAATTTTGGTTTGAATCCATCACATTTTTTGGTATTATCTGTTTTAACACTCCAATGTTGATTAGTGTTGTGTATTTAAAAAAGTTTTTTTATAAACTAGTTTTTAATATTAATTTTATTAGTAAAAAATACCTATTAGGCATTATTGTTGTAAC